ATTTTTTAATCTAAAATATCTTAATACAAGAATGTTCATGGTCATTCTGCAATATTTAAAGCCATAATTCAGCAATGAGGTATAACTTGGCAGGGAGAGGAGAGAGGTGGGGAAGGATTTCCAGTCTTCTCCAAATATATGACAACTAATTGCCAGTTTTATGGACTTAGAGAAAGTTAAATAGGAATAGCTTGGAAATCAGTTGCATCCTTTATAGCTAGAAAAGAGCCAGATTGGCTGTTTTCAATAAATTATGAATTTAAAAGTTGATGTTAATAAAACAATAAACCTCTCTGATTATTCACCCTTAGAATTAACCAACATAAATGGAAAATTAAAATAAATCTAGTAATAAGAATCTCATCCTTCCACAAAGTGTAGTTATGATTTAAATTAACACTAAAGTCATTGACTTGGGGAAGAAAAAGAGGTATAAGGCTCAGAGAAGATAAAGGACCCATTTCTCATATTCTTAAGATTAAAACAAAAAAACAGTAGCTTCCATGTATAGATTGCCTTTCAAAAACAAAAAACTTCAATCAGTGGTATGTGTAATTTCCTAAACCCTCACAACAGGTGTAAATGGGAACACTATTACAACTTTCATATATAAAACCTTTAACACAAAAAATGCAAATATGAAAGTTACAAAAGATAAGGAAAACTCAGCCATAATTCCACTTACATTGACACAATCATCATTAGCATCTGAATGTACTTTAGGGTTTTAAAACTCCCTTTGGCTGACGCAGAAGCTCAAGGACGCCAAGTGACCTGCCCTTGTGCATGTGGAATGAAACCTTTCTGCTTCCTCCAGCACTCTGAGCTGCCCAGATAGGCAAGAAGGAGCCCTAAGCTGTCAAGGAGTCTACCACTGTCAGCTGAGTTGCTGCCTCTAATCTTCTTCTCTATCTTTTCTCTGGAAACAGTAAAGAAGACGAAGGGCTGAACATTTACACAACAGAGTACATTTCTATTCTAACTCCCCTCATCTAAAGAGGGCAAGTCTGTTAAATTAAGGACCTCAAGCCTTACAGAAATTTGAGATCAAAGTTACCTATGTAACACTGAGTAGAAAAATTTCCCTGGTGAACCAAATACATCTCTGTTTCCTAATTTTTTGATGCTTCATAAATTAGATTTCTCTCAACCTGAGAGAATACTAATAAGAGCCCTAAAATATCCCTAAATTTGGATCCATTTGAAAACCTCCAACAGTCAACCATGAACTGTACCAATGATGAACATGTAGCCAATCTGCTACGTAGAGGTTAGAGGTCAGGAATCTCCAAGAGCACTCAGAAAAGTCAAAGGAAACCTGTGTGTCCATTAAAAGCCTCAGGGGGTCAAGGCCTAATTGGAGTCAGATTTTTAGGTGATGCAAAAAATATATCCCCAAGAATTTGGAAGCCCACCAAGGCCTATCTTCAAGACCAAGTTGATGCTTGCACTAGAGGTCGAAGACAGCTGCAGAGTCTGACCACTAAGCATCAACACCACAAAGAGATGTGGCATGGTACGTAATGCTGCTTATAATCCTGAATGTAGCCAATGTGAAAAAGTTGCATTTACGAAATCAGCCACACCAGAACTACTGTCTTCTACCCTGTTGTAAAAAGTGGGCTTAAAATACCACCAAGGGCTGGGCACAGTGGCTCATGTCTGTAATCCCAACATTTTGGGAGGCAAAGGCGGGAGGGTGTCTTGAGCCTAGGAGTTCGAGACCAGCTTGAGTAACATAGTGAGGCCCCGTCTTAAAAAATCACAATACATTTTTTCAAATGTCATGGAGGGACAGTCTTACCCATTAACCTTTACGATTTATTCGGTGAATTTAGGTAGTATACTGCCTAACCTGCATAGACACATTTCCTGGATATTAGAGAAACTACAGAGTGATTCCAGCTGCGGAAGCACAGAGACGTGTGTCATGAACCGTGACCCACCCTGGGGCAAATGCCTGGGACTGTGTTTATGGGGACTTCTAAAGAAAATCATTTATTATTCTTTCCATCCCATTTTCTTACTTTACATGTAATAGTTCAACTAAATCTGCTCAGCTACTGTATTCCATCTATATGAACGTGAAAAAATTATACAAACTGCTGACCCTGACTTTGGTTTGTAGTTTCAAACTGTGATTCTATTACCTAGGACAACAAATTTTAGACTTAAGAACACAGCTGTGACTTTTCAGTATCTACAGGATGATTTATCATCGTCAATTAGATATTTAGCTTCTAAAATGCAGAACTCAAGATCTCCGTGGCCTGTGTGTGGTTAGATAAGTTATAGATGGAGAAGTAGAAAAAGCTGGCAAATTAGAGGGAGGTATGACTACTAGGAAATCAATGAGTATTTTATTTCTCAAATACTAAGCTTGATGCAATAAGAAAAAGTAATGATATAGGTCCTCTTTTTTTTTTAGGTCTTTAAAAATGTCTTTTAAAATGTCTAATTGTAGATGGAGAATTTCTGCAAGTGGTCTTGTGATATAATTATCTTTTTAGTGTAAATCATCAATTGTACTGTGCCACATACACACTCAGACATCATCCCTCCTAGGTAGTGAAGGAAGTATAAATATCTAAGGTGGGGTGGGGAAGTCATTTGGTCCCTCAACTTAGTGTTGTATTCCTAAGGTAAAAACATTTCACGTACTCTATGAGATGAAAACATGTTGTTTTGAGTATACAGGAAAATGCCAATTGCCTTGCAGTAGGAATTTCTGATTTGTCACTAAATATTCTTTACTTACTTTAACATTCTCATTAAACAAGTTCAACTGTTAATACACTTTTTGTCTAGTAGCAGTGAATTTAAATTCTAGTCACCAGTAAAATGCTATTGGATTATCCATCAGGATAGATACATATGTGTACACACACACACAGCAAACTTGAAAATCACCTTGGCCAGGCGCGGTGGCCCATACCTGTAATCCTAGCACTTTGGGAGGCTGAGGCAGGCGGATCACCTGAGGTTGGGAGTTCGCGACCAGCCTGGCCAACATGGTAAAACTCTGTCTCTACTAAAAATACAAAACTATAGCCGGGCGTGGTAGTGCACACCTGTAGTCCCAGCTAGCCAGGAGGCGGGGACAGGAGAATCGCTTGAACCCGGGAAGTGGAGGTTGCAGTGAGCCGAGATCGTGCCACTGCACTCCAGCCTGGCCAGGCAACAGAGTGAGACTCTGTCTCAAAAAAAAAAAAAGAAAAAGAAAAAGAAAAAGAAAATCACCTCAAGCCTTAAAAATAATTCCAAAAATATGCTAAATGATACTAAACATAGTTAAATGGGACACTGCCAGAAAAAGATCATTTACTGCCTGGATTTGAACCTTCTTGGGAGTTATACATTGTACATTAGCGCCAGGGGCATCTTGAGAAATGATGATAAATTTTGCTCTGGATTTTTATGGTAATTTAATTTCCTTTTCTCCACTTTAAAAGGAAATCTTAATTACCAATCTTTACTCACAACAATTGGTTAAGGGTAATTCCATTTTATTTTATATTACTGTAAGCCAAAAAAACATTGATGAGTTTTGAAAACCACAGGGAGTTAGGTCATAACCTAATGACCTAAAGCACTGATGAAGTGCTTTCTAGCACAGACACGAATAATTTATCATCTGAAGCTTGCCCTGAGAGTTTTGATTCACACATGGGAAATCTTACTAGCCCATGACAGAATCGAATCATTAGAAAAGGTATGTAAGTGCGTTCACATATATATTCAAAGCCAAGAAATGTATAGGCAATATTAAAATGTACACACACAATAGACACGCAGATTATAACATTGCTGAAAGCAGAATAGATCACAAAGACAGTCCATTATATAAAATTCACACTCTTTATAAAATAAATTTGTAAGCTTCCTTGTATTGATATAGCTCTGACTTAGAGATGTTTTAAATAATGCTCTTCCTCAAATACGATGAGAAGCCTACCACTATCCCCCACCTCTGAGTCCCACCAAGCTGAAAGAAAGGAAGAAAGGATAAAAAAAGGAAGGAATGATGGAGAAAGGGAAAGGGAAAAAAGCCTTTGTCAATCTCAGTAATTCCTATCACTGAGTAGAATTATATTGAAATATAATTCTTTATATACTCAAAAACAGTATCTCGTGTATTTTTAAAATTGCTTTATCCCTGGGATATTAATAAAGAAGAAATCATAAGAAATAAACTTCTATCAATTTCTGTTTATCACAATGAGGATAAACTTCTCAATTTATAAGGCTACTCCATATTCTGAGTGGATTGCTTCATGTCTGCCTAAGAAATCAGTTTATGTTACTAAAAGCAAAGTCTTTAAAAGCCCCCAGCCATCTGCCTGAGGCTGAGGCTGGGTCTGAGGTTGGAGAGAGAAAAAGTAGCAAACTACATGTAATTGAACTGCCTATTGGGCTGAAAGCAAACTGAAGGCAAAAATGAAATGCAAATAGTTAACAAACTGTAAAGCAACACACAAACACTGCTATCATTAATGATAATGATTAGTGCTAATAACAATAACCATAATATTTCCAATGTTGATTTTTTTAATCCACATATGGAAAATACAGCTACAGGGAATGATAATCAACAATCAGTAGGTCTTTGCTCAACAGCCTGGGATAAGAAAACCATCAGCTCCAAATTTCTACTCTATGAAACCTGAGAGAAGATTCTCTTGCAGCCTCAGCAACTTCTGTCCTTAAGAGAATCAAGCGGATTAAAAAATTTTTTTCAAGTCTGAAATTTCACACTTACTTCAAAATCTTACATTATTTTACTTTTTCCTCAGAATTGCACATATTGCCTAGTCATTTTAATTTCAGTGCAATAGAGTAATTTAGATTAAAAGTTTATATAATTTATTCAATATTAGTTCTCAAGAAAGGTTGAGACAAAAAAGCAAGTACAAAGCTTTGCATCGATTCAATGGTGCAAACTCATATATTAAATAAAATTTTTACTAGAACACAGTGATATGAAGTAAGTTTGATCTTACCTCTGGTACTCCTAATTTTCGGCATGCTTCCAAAAAGTTCTCCACATTTCTTCTGCATTTGGCCATGCTAAGTTTGGGCTATAAATGCAAAGATACAGAAATAATATATTATTAAAAGAGAAACCATTTTAATACCATGGTAAATTTTAAACTTACTAAATGGCACAAGCAATACATGTTTATTGGAGAAAAAGAAAATAACACATAAGCAAATAGAAGAAAACAAAATATCACCCAGAAACATCCATCTTAGATTAAAAACTGTTAATATTTTAGATTATATTCTTCCAGACATTGTGTTCATATATGCATACATAGATATACATATATGCCTATGTGTATATATAGATGTATGTATATCATGTATATACGCTGATGCATATGTATGCAAAATTTTCTGCACACATATGTATATATGTGTATGTTTATACTGTTTATATATATGCACATACACATGTATATATAGTTTTTATGGGATCATACTGTTGTGTAACCTGTTTTAGTTCGCCTAAAGTACACCATAAACATTACCTTCCCCATCAACAAATATATTTCTATATAAAGGGTTTAAATTCACCAGATCAATTAACCTCATTCCCACCAAAGCCATGGATATAGAGGCAATATCACGGTAAACAGCACTGAAAATGGTGGATGTTCAGGACTTAACCAAAAGCTTCTCACAATTGTATTAACCTTGGCCTCTGAGGTGTGGGGTGGGTAACAGGCACATTTCACATATATACTATACTTTTTTACATGGTACGTTTTGAACACTTTGCTGCTAAATTGTAATAGCATTAAGGAGTCTCATTCATGTTCCCCTCCCCACTATGTCCCCAGCATCACCAATGAGTCCTTGAGTGCAGGGACTGATCAAGAAATTGTTGAAGTCATGACTGCTAACCAACCCCTTGACAGGTTATTCATAATATTTTTCACAGAACTCACATCTTTTCAGGGCTATCCTAAAATCCTCCATGACGAATAGAGGGAAAAGATTCAATTTAGAAGGGAAGTTACCAACTAAAAGAAGCTTTCTGAAAGACTTGTCACTGTTTAAATAACCCCTTGGGAAAAAGAAATGTTTATGTTCCTATAGTCTTAAAGTTAGCACCTTGGTCAATCAGTAATTTCTTTTTCTTTATTTTTTTTCTTTTTCTTTTGAGACAGGGTCTCGCTCTGTCTCCAGGCTGGATTGCAGTGGCACAATCATGGCTCACTACAGCCTTGAACTCCTGGGCTCAAGCAATCCTTCCACCTCAGCCTCCCGAGTTGCTGGGACCACAGGTGTGTGTCACCATATCCAGCTAACTTTTATATTTTTCATATTTTTGTATTGTGTAGTTTTCTATTTTTTTCCAGAGGCAGAATCCCGTCTTTACAAAAAAATACAACTCCTGAGCACAAGTGATCCACCTACCTTGGCCTCCCAAAGTTCTGGGTTTACAGGCGTGAGCCACCATGCCCACCCAGTAAGTTATTTAAAGTGATTTGCTTGATATTGAAATAAAATTATGTTTCTGTCATTTATATATTTATTTTAAAATAGTCTCTCATTTTACAGTGAAAATGTTGCTTCATTCAGAGCCACTCATTCATTCCTTTTCTGCCTTATAATGGTTTGGGGCCCAACGGAAAAGATTTGAGCAAGGTCCTACTGACACCATTGACATCCTAAACCAACAACAGTGACCCCTAAAAGTCTGTTTTATGTCAGTTAGTTTCCCTTTGGTGTTACTTACAACCGCTGGTGACGGGACATGGATGCTTGCAACCGACCGTGGGCGGATGTGGTTGACCAGATGGCAGAGGACAACACCATCCATGAGTGCTGCCCCCAGGTCTTCATGTAGACTGACCTTCAATCTCATCTCAATGCTCTGTTGGGGAAATCAGAAGGAAGTCAGTTGCTATGAACACTGAGGTAACTGTGGGTAAAATACATTTATGGGTATTTATGAACTGAAGCACTAATTTCATTATGGGAAATTAGGATAACAATGCCTAGAAAACAATGACATTATTTAACTGTTTGATACTGTTTCTAAACAGTATCAAAATCCCTCTTTATAAAAACAAATTTAGGTGAGTGTAAAATTTTTACTAAACAAAATGAATGGAATAATGGAATCACTTTTTGAGCGTGATAAATAAAACCAAATCTGACTGGTTCAGGCAGTCTGCATGGGGCAGAAGAGGGATTAAGAAATGTTTTTCTCTGGTCAGCCACTGCGCCCGGTCAGAGAAAAACATTTCTTAATCCCTCTTCTGCCCCATGCAGGGATCACAGGCCCAGTGGCCAAAGTGCCTGTAATCCCAGCACTTTGGGAGGGCAGATCACCTGAGGTCAGGAGTTCAAGGCCAGCCTGGCCAGCATGGTGAAACCCTGTCTCTACTAAAAATACAAAAATTAGCCAGGCATGGTGGCAGGTGCCTGTAATCACAGCTACTTGGGAGGCTGAGGCAGGAGAATCACTTGAACCCAGGAGGCGGAGGTTGCAGTGAGATGAGATCACGCCACTGCACTCCAGCCTGGACAACAGAAAAAAAAAAAAAAAAAAAAGAAATGCTTTTCTCTTGGGCAAGGCATGGTAGCTCACGCCTGTAACCCCAACACTTTGAGAGGCTGAGGTGGGCAGATCCCTGAGCTCAGGAGTTTGAGAGAGACCAGCCTGGGCAGCATGGTGAGACCCTGTCTCTACCAAAAATAGAAAAAATTAGCTGGGTGGGGTTATGTGCACCTGTGGTCCCAGCTACTTGGGGGACTGAGGTGGGAGGATGTCTTGAGTCCAGGAGGTGGAGGCTGCAGTGAGCCAAGATCGTGCCTTGGCACTCCAACCTGGTTGACAGAGTGAGATCCCGTCTCAAAAAAAAAAAAAAAAAAAAAAAAAAAAAAAAAGAAAGAAATGCTTTTCTTTTCTCTTAGACTATTTTTAATTGATAAATCAATTTTTGTTCTTCTTTTAAAAAATTTAACTTTTGGTTTTTGAGATAATTCTAGATTCATATGCAATTGTAAGAACTAATACAGAGAGGTTCCATGTACCCTTTGCCCAATTTCCTTCAATGGTAACAACTTTCAAAATAACCAGAATATTGACATTGACAAAGTCAAGATGCACAAACATTCCCACCAGCACAAGGATCCCTCGTGTTGCCCTTTTATTGACACATCCTCTCAGCTACTCGGGAGGCTGAGGCAGGAGAATCACTTGAACCCAGGAGGCAGAGGTTGGCAGTGAGCCAAGATTGCACCACTGCACTCCAGCCTGGATGATAAAGCAAGACTGTCTCAAAAAAAGAAAAAAAATTATAGACACATCCCCTTCCTTACCACCCCGAAGTTCCTCTTCTACCTTGCTCCTATTCTCCTTTCCTTCTGGGTCTAGGCCTCCCATGACATGAATGCTGGATCATTTATTACACTTCCACAGGTCCAGAGGCTCTCCGTCTACTGATTTTTCAATCTGTTTTCTCTCTGTTGTTCAGATTAGATGATTTCTATTGTTCTCTCTTCTAGTTTCATTCCAGTTCTTTCCTTTATCATCTCCATTCTGCTGTGGAACCCATCCACTGGGCTTTTTATTTTCAATAATGTATTTTTTAGCTCTCAATTTCCATTTGGTTTTTCTTTATGTCTTCTATTTCTTTGCGGAGATTTTCTAGTTCTCTGCTGGGGTATTCTTTTCCTTTCCTTTGACCATGTGCATCGTTGTTCATTGAAGCATTTTCATCATGGCTGGTTTAAAAATATCTGTCAAATAATTCTAACATCTCTGCTGTGTTAGTGATGTCATCTGTAGATTGTCTTTTTTTCTTACAGTTTGAGATCTTCCTCGTCCTTGGAATGATGAGGGATTTGCAATGGAAACCTGGATATTTTTGTATTATGAGACTCTGGATCCTATTTAAATGTTTTAGTTGGCTTTTTTTTTTTTTTTTTTTTTTTTGACACTGCTCTAGCAGGGGAAGGTGGCTGTCACCACCTTGTTACTGCCAGGTGAATGCAGGCATCTGGGTTTCCCACTGGGTATCAACTGGCCAGGGAGTAGGGGAAGGGGAAGGTGCCTCCTTACTGCTGAGTGGATATGGGAATCCTGGATTCCCATGTGGTCTCCACTGAAACTCTGGGAGCAGATGAGCTTCCTTACTGACCAGTGGGGATGAAATTTCTGGCTCCTGGCTTGGTCTTCTCTGACACCACTCCAGCAAGGGGAGAAGTCTCACTTGACTCAGCCCTTGCTGGTGTGGGTGATGGGGGGACCACAGTATTTCCTGTGGTGTTCAGCTGCAGTAGCGCATTTATGGTCTAAAACTTTTCTGTTTTGCTGGGCTGTCCCTTTCCTGGTTATTTGGTTAGAGAAAGTCAGCTTTTATTGTTGTTTTTCTAAAGTCTGTGCCCATTACTGTTTCTGGGTTCTCAGCGACTTCAGCTCCAAGTCTGGATACATGAGGCAAAAAGAAAGTCCCCTGGAGCTCACCACTATGGCGTCCCTCAAGTCTCAAGGACCCTAATCAGTCTGTCTTCTCTTTACCTTCCAGAATGTTCTTACGTTTGTTTCATTTATGTCTAGGGGTTTTAGGTGTACTTAGTGGGAAAAATAGGGAAAAGTATGCCTACTCCATCCTCTTCGAAGCAGAAGTAGACAAATCAATTTTCAAAACTTAACTAGGGCTTTTGCAACAAAAAGTCCTTTTTTTTTTTATTATACTTTAAGTTGTAGGGTACATGCGCACAACCTGCAGGTTTGTTACATATGTATACATGTGCCATGTTGGTGTGCTGTACCCATGAACTTGTCATTTACATTAGGTATATCTCCTAATGTTATCCCTACCCACTCCCCCCACCCCATGACAGGCCCCAGTGTGTGATGTTCGCCTTCCTGTGTCTAAGTGTTCTCATTGTTCTGGATAACAGCCTATGAAACGATGACTTGATTTGGTGATTTTAATAAATGAAAACTTGAAAACAGTGCATGTAATAGTGTTATATCAATTTCTTTCAGAAGTGTCCTGTGTGTGGACAATTTTTTTAGGTACTCTTTCAGGCTCTAATTTTATATCACTAAATTAAGCCATAAACGATCACTATGACCCATGCTTAAGATAAAATTGTAAGATATCACTCCCTATGGGGCATATCTCAGCTTCTGATCTTATTTGCATAGATTTTATAAAGTTCACCTTCCCAGTTTACATTACATCCAGACGGTCCTGGCAAATGACAGAGGTTTGACTTTCCCTTTGTGTTTGCTGAATCACCACAGTGGCTTAAAGAGGTGGCAAGAGTCATTTTTGTTTTCTTTTTAAAATTACTTCCTCCTGACTCTTTGCTAAACCATATAAAAAGTATCATCTGCTCTAACAAAGAGGCTGACCTATCCTAATTTAATTTAATCTGAATTTTGTTTCTAGGGCTCACTGCTCATTTGTAGAACTCATCGCTCTCTGAAACTGTGTATTTGTTTCCGTCTTATTTACTATCTCTCCCCAATAGATTATAAGCTTTAGAACAGCAGCGACCTTTTTGTTCTCTCCTACATCCATTACCTAGAATACAGCCTGGTAGAGAGTGACAGTCAATACATACTTGCTAACAAAAGAAGATTTAACATCGAATCTATCTCCTCCAAGAATCTCTCTTTCTTTTTTGAAAAAATTTATTTTAGATTAAGCGGGTACATGTGCAGGTTTGTTACATGGGTGTATTGTGTGATATTGAGGTTTAGGCTTCTAATAATCCTGTCACCTAAGCAGTGAACATAGTACCCAATAGGTAGTTTTTCAACCTTCACCCCCTGTCTCTCCCCTTTTGGAATTCCCAGAGTTTGTTGTTTCCATCTTTGTGTCCGTGGATATCCAGTGTTTAACTCCCCCTTATAAATGAGAACGTGGTATTTGGTTTTCCGTTTCTGTATTAATTTGCTTAGGATAGTGGCCTCCAGTTGCATCCATGTTGCTGCAAAGGACATGATTTCGTTCTTTTTTATGGCTGTGTAGTATTGCATGGTATATATGTACCACATTTTCTTTATCCAGTCCACTGCTGATGGGAGCCTGGGTTGATTCCCAGTCTTTGTTTCTGTGAATAGTGCTGTGATGGACATATGAGTGCAGGTGTCTTTTTGGTAGAACAATTTATTTTTCTCTGGGTATATATCCAGTCATGGGATTGCAGCATTGAATGGTTGTTCTACTATTAGTCAAGAAGCTTTCTTAGACTCTTTTAGTTCATAGTTAAGACACTTCTTTTTGAACATTAAAAACTCATGCAGCAATTCATAATGTGCTGTCTTTAATAGCTAATACCAATGTTTTCTTCCTTGGTGATTGACTCCTATACTGTTATTTAACCTTCCATATATTTAGGTATGATCTTCCTAACCTGACAAAAAGACCATGCAGGTAGACAAATACCTACAGAGTGCCCACTGGGAACTAAGAAATACGACAAGGAATAAGACAGCCATGGTCTCTGCCATCTCCAAGTTTAAGCTTCAGTGATACCCAGCACAAGACTTCCTCTTTGGTAGAAACTCAAAAGATTTGACTATTAGATAACTGAGTTAAAATCTCTGGTCGGTTTTGGGTACAAAGTGAGGATAACTACAAACATTTTTAAATTTATGTAATATTGCCGGGCATAGTGGCATGTGCCTATAATTTATGCCAAGCTACTTGGGAGGCTGAGGCCAGAGGATCACTTCAGCCCAAAAGTTCAAGGCTGCAGTGAGCTATGATCATACCATTGCACTCTAGTCTGGGCAACAGAGAGAGGCCCCGTCTCTTAAAAATTAAAAATTGGGCTGGGTGCGGTGGCTTATGCCTGTAATCCCAACACTTTTCTACTAAAAATACAAAAAATTAGCTGAGTGTGATGGTGCACACCTGTAATCTCAATTACTCAGGAGGCTGAGGTGGGAGGATCGCTTGAGCCAAGAAATCACAGGTTGCAGTGAGCCGAGATCATGTGACTGCACTCCAGCCTGGGTGACAGAGTGAGACTTTGTCTCAAAAAAATACACAAATAAAAAAAAATTTAAATGAAAAATAATTTAATATTATTAAGTAAATAAATGATAGGGCATTAATTGATTATGATTTTAATTATAATTAAATTATATTAATGATATGCCTGAATTGAAATAGTGCCAGCATTTATATGTATGTATTATTTTTTATTTACTACTATCTCATATATTCCTCACAAAACTCCACTAAGGTTAATTAGAACGATGTTTTTTTTCTCTAAGAGACAAGGTCTCACTGTTGTCACCCAGGCTGAACTGAAGTGGTACAATCATAAATCACTGCAGCCTCCCATTTCTGGGCTCAACGGATCCTCTCATCTCAGCCTCCCGAGTAGCTGGGATTACAGGCATACACCACCAAGCCCAGCTAATTTTTGTATTTTTAGTAGAGATGGGGTTCACCATGTTGCCCATACTGGTCTTGAACTCCTGGACTTAAGTGATTAGCCTGCCTCCACCTCCCAAAGTTCTGTGATTACAGGCATGAGACAATGTGCCTACCCAAACCATTTTTTTAGTACATAAAGAAACAGACTTGTGACTTCTTCGGCCCCTCCTACTTGTGGACCGGAGAACCTCACCCGAGAGCGCCAGCACGACTTCCCTGGCCCCATATCTGAGGACTGGAGAACCTCGCCCGAGAGTGTGTGCATATTTGCAATAAAAGGCTGCCACTTTCTTATGTACTTTGGCCTCATGTTTAATTATTTAGCTCTCCTAAATTAAATTAAACAAAACAGTTGGTGCCGAAACACGACCCGGGAGGAGACCCTTCCTCAACATCCCCTAGGGGTCTAACAAACCTCCTCCCCAGCGAACCAGCTCCAAACCCAACCAGCCACCAACACCGAACAAGTGTTCCAGCTTTCCACTGGTGCCGCTCTGAGAATTTCTTCTTCGGTGAGTACGCCCCTTTGTTAACCATCTCCGTCCGTTTCTGTGTCCTTGGCCTAGAGTCGTACATACGCCCAAGGACGTAGCCACCCTGTGGCGCAGTGAGGTCTTCAACCCGGAGACGTCCTTCTTGAAGTTCCTCAATTCTCCATTAGTGGCTCCAGGAGCCCCCGGTCTCCAGCAGCGGCAAAGGACACTTTGCCACTGCGTGAGGTCGGTTTCCATTTCTGGTGGTTAAACAATGGGAACCTCACAATCAAAAATCCCTAGGAACACCCCCTTAGGGTGTCTCCTCCAAAACTTGGAAGCCTTCGGCTAATTTTCCTCTCCACTGTGGCATGGCCGCAGTATAAATTAGACAACCAATCTCAATGGCCACCAGACGGCACACTTGACTATAACATTCTATTAGATCTCTCTAATTTCTGCCAAAGGCTTGGAAAGTGGTCAAAGATTATCTATGTCCAAGGCTTTTGGGACTTGCGCTCTTGCCCAGACCTGTGCGCCCAGTGTTCAATGGCCCAGGTCTTGTTAGCTAAAACCCAGCCCTCGGCCCCAACACCACAAGCGGAGGAAGATTCTACTTCCATCTCAGATGGGGCCGACGGTGGGGCACCTCCCTCCCGACCTCCCAACCCCCCTCCCTATGCTCCTCCTACCGCCCCTCCCTCAGCCACTCCTCTTACCTCTCCCATTTCCGCCCACACACTCTCCAAGACTGCGGTAGCGGCCCCTACTAGTCAGCCCTCTACCAGTCAGCCTGCCCCAACCCCCTCTACCAGTCAGCCTGCCCCAAACCCCCTCTACCGGTCAGCCTGCCCCAACCCCCCCTACCGGTCAGCCTGTCTCAACCTACCCAACTGGTCAGTCTGTTCCAACCTCCCCTGCTAGTTTGTTGGCCCCCCTCCAAGAAGTTGCTGGAGCTGAGGGCATGGTTAGAGTCCACGTCCCCTTTTCCCTGGCTGACCTTTCCAAAATTGAAGAACGACTCAGCGACTTCTCAGCCAACCCCACCCAATATTCCAAAGAGTTTTGATACCTAGGCCAGGCATATGACCTTACCTGGCATGACTTACATGTCATTCTTACTTCCACTCTTAACCCAGAGGACAGAGAGCGCATTCTTGCAGCCGCCAGGCAGCATGCAGACCAGTTACACTTAACTGACCCGGCCAGCCCAGTAGGCGAACAAGCTGTCCCATCTACAGATCCTGAATGGGACTACCAACCTCAACAACCCGGGCATCGCAGAAGAGACCTTATGATACAATGCCTCTTAGCTGGCATGCAGGCAGCCTCTAACAAAATAGTAAATTTTAATAAGTTACAGGAGGTTATTCAACACTCAAGAGGAAAATCCTGCCTCCTCCTTTTAAAATCGCCTTACAGAGGCACTTGTCCAATTTACCTGACTGGATCCTACCCCTCCGGCAGGAGCTACTGTCCTTGCCAGTTATTTTATTTCCCAGTCGGCCCCTGACATCCGAAAAAAAAAAATTAAGAAAGGTAGAGGATGGACCTCAAACCCCCATTCAGGACTTAGTCAAGCTAGCTTTCAAAGTTTTTAACTCTAGAGAGGAAACAGCTGAGGCTCTTCAACAAGCCAGAGTAGAACAGAAGGCCGCCCTTCAGGCACAAGCTTTAGTGGCTGCCCTCCAACCCGCGTTGCCCACTTTGCCGGCAGGGAAAACCAAAGATAAGTCTCTTAAGGGCTCCTGCTATAAATGTGGAGACCCAGGACACTAGGCAAACCAGTGTCCCCAGGCCAAGCCGGCCACTCCGTCTGGCCCATGTTTTAAGTGTGGCACAACTGGGCATTGGGAAAAAAGGTGTCTAAATCCTCACCTGCCTACCATGCTGTGCCCAACCTGCCAACAGGAAGGACACTGGAAGTCTGATTGCCCCGCCAGCAGGGCAGGCATTGCGCCTCAACGTGGTGCCTCTCCTCAAGGGTCGGAAGGCTCCTTCCAGCTCCTACACCTGGACGACAACTGACGGTGCCCACACTTGGAGACCCCGGTCACCCTTGCCGAGCCTAGGGTAACTCTACAGGTAGTGGGTAAGCCAATTTCTTTTCTCGTCAATACGGAGGCTACCTATTCTGTTTTACAATTACATTCTGTTTTGCCAACCTATGGAAGTCCTAGCCAGCCATCCACTATCTCAGTAGTTGGGGTAGACGGTAAACCGTCTAACCCTCGCCAGACCCCAATGTTAAGTTACTGCCCGGACTATGCATGCTTTGTCCACTCTTTCCTCATCATGCCCTCTTGTCCCACCCCCCTCTTAGGATGAAACATCTTAACCTAACTCAAAACATCTATTCCCCTTCCCTTTCTCCAGGCGACCAGGTTCTACTCAAGGATCAACACCCTCCTCAAATTTTCCCGCTTCCTCACCATTCTTCATCTTAACTGACTTTTCCCTCATAAACCCCATAGACACCCTCCTTCCTGACCCATCCCCCAACCAGTAGGTTTCCCAACTTTTTACTCTCATAGAAGACCTAGCTTGGCAGGGTGCCCTTTGTGATTTCCTAATTCCCATACTAATCCTCTGCCTTGCCTTATGTTTTGCTCCCATTTTAATAAAATTTCTCCGAGCCAACGTCCAAGAGATCACCCGAGTCACCTTCAACCAAATGCTCCTGCATCCCTACACCCAACTGCCAACCTCAGACCCTAACTACGCCCCTTAACAGCAGGAAGCAGCCAGACAGACCACGGCGCCCTAAATTCTTATACTCAATAAGAGGTTGGACTGTTTGGGTGAGGAAGAAAGGACAAGATGGAGGAAGGTGAACAAGAAGGCACAATCCATGTTGCTTCCGGGTTCTTCCTCACCAACTTTCCCGTGCGCGGGAAAATGCAGCCTGCGCCCGGGAAGATGCAGATCAACCGAGCATGCGCCAGGTGACATCAATCCGAAGAGATCGAAACTTACCAGGCCACACCTATGGAGACGCCCCTATCACACCCTTATCCTGCCCACTGCCCTCCCCCTTCCAGTACCAATGCATAAAAGTCCGCCGCCGGCAGGACCCGGCATGACTTCTTCGGCCCCTCCTACTTGTGGACCGGAGAACTTCACCTGAGAGTGCTGGTGCGACTTCCCTGGCCCCATACCTGAGGACCGGAGAACCTCGCCCGAGAGTGTGTGCATATTTGCAATAAAAGGCTGCCGCTTTCAGCATGGTTAAGCGGCTTGCCCAACATCCAGCAGTCAGTAAATGACCTGGCTAGATTTGAAATTAGGACTGCTTGCAATGTTTCAAAGTCTATTTCTTAAAAATATAGAATGTTGCTTAAATTCTGAAAATTCTCCTTTAGTTACATAACATTTCTTGGGTACCTCACGAAGTTGTTCCACCAGCTCTTTCTCTTCTCTCATCTGCTCCATTTTCCTCCGGATTGTAAACTGTGGGTCTATAGATTCCAAATTTCTCTGAGGTCTTAGAAACACTATAATAGAAAGGGAAAAATGCCTTCATGTAGTGCCTTGTCACATAGGGCTATTCATATTAAAATCAAACAGTATTTTAATTTATCCAAAATAATTCATTTACCACTTAAAGAAACAAAGAAATTCCAAATCCACAAGAAAAGCCTGGCTCAAGTATTTTAAAAGAGGCATCTTAAATTATACTAGGTTGAGTGGATTAACAAGCTGTATTTTTTGGTGATAATAAACTGAACCCAGGGCAAGATCTGGGTCATTGGGACTGTTCCAAGTCACTGGTCTGACAGATATCCTACTTCACTCATCTTCCCACTGTTTTCATTCTAAGTTTTTATTTACACTCAATCCTTTCATTAAATTCAGATAATTTATTTCAAATAAGGCTCTAGAATTGTTGTATGTATTTTAAAAAGCACAAGTTAATGTTTTTGTTGGCATCAAGTTTTTCATAAGCCTGAGTTAAGAACTAAGTGATGATTACATATTTGAGGGTACGGTGGAAAAATTCTGCCTTCTAGACTGTCACTGACAGACGATCAAAAAAGTCAGCTCTTTGGAGACAAGCAAGGACTCCTTTTAGGAAGCCTGTCAAGATTAGAAGTAGCTGAAGAGCTCATTGTTGGCTTCAGGTTCTTGAAGTTACGACCTCCAAGAACAGTAACAGCGATGCTCCCTCTGAAATGAGCTGAGCAAACACATGCCCTTCCCTCTGAAGGAAAATATCTTGTAGAGACCAATCAAGAAGGTAAATCATGTTCTATGTATTGGAGAATGACTACAGCAAGAGTTTTAATTAATTTTTTAATGATACAAAGCCCAGGGCAGATTTAAACTTGAATTTTTTTCTTCCTAGAGATTTTTATCCTCGCACATAAGACGGAAGAAAGAGCTGTTCAGAGCCTTGGTTCCCCCATCCCATTGACTTTCAGATTGAGGTAGGGAGGGAAAGTCTCTCAGAAAATTCTGGGCAGAGAACTCCAATGTTAGAAATCCACACCACATCGAAGGCTGCATGGCGTACTGCAATTGCAGAAGTTTCAATCATGATCATTTAAACGATGCTGAATAAGAAAGAACATGTAATTTTTATTCTACCTTGACATACATTTCCTATGGACCACTTTAGACACTATTTCAATATTTCAGATTCCTAGAAATTAAATATGATTTACAAATGGAATCCTTTGGATACAAAGACTTGAGTCCACTCGGTGTAACCAAAAGTCCTGTGCTCGCCTAACTATATTTTAATTTCCATTTGTGCCTTTGAACATGCATTCTGCTTCTCACATCTCAGTATTTTCTTTCTAAATTAGTTCTAAGATACTTGAATTCGCATTCTGATGCTCTATGGAAGATGAGAAAGTTGACATATCTTAAATCGTCGACTTAGAGTTAATGGAGAAAGAGGATGATTTAAGGTACACAAGGCCTGTCACCTTCTGGAATCTCAGAGAGGAGTCAGCTTGTGGCCTGGGGCCTCTGCTGGAAGCCACTGAGGGAAGTCACAGGCAAAGGACACCACAGGCAGTCACAGGAGGACTGTCACCAAGTCCCACAAAACCCAAACCTCACAGGACGTAGAATCAATTGTCTACAAAGTAAAGCCAAGGTCAGTAAAAGGACAGAGTGACCAGGCAGGGAAAGATGACAAGTTCACAGAGAAAAGGGAACTGAGGAAAACTCTGACAAATTAGGACGCATGGAAGAAACTGGAGAATGCATCACATTTTACACCATTTCAAGCAAAACCAAAACAGAAATATACAAAAATGTAAAATCTAGAACTAATTTGCACCACCAAATTTACCAAAAAAAGGTCAAGAAATGCAGATAGAGTTGGATAATACATACATATGCCAGCAAGGGGCGCCTCAACACCGTTTGAACAAATCAAATGTTTTCTTTGGAGCTGTTATTTTCCTTTGCCTTTTTTCTTGGGGGTAATCTTATCTAATAATATTTTCAATATGTTTTTATTGGCAGATTTCAATCTGAATATGAAACTATCAGGAAGTGAAATGAACCATGAGCTTTTGTTCAACACCACATTGCCTTATTAGAGCCCTATGTGAGATACCAGGATAACGAGATGGTGTCTGGGTTTTACTTTCCTGGCATCATTTTTAAATTTTGCATTCCTTTGTATCTTAAAAATGTAACATGCATGCGTGGGCATTTGTTCTATGAATGTTAAGCAATCTAAAGTGTTTTAAAAACCAATTGAACTGTATTTTTTTAAAATGAACACTTCAAATATACACAAAATTATCAGAAATAATGACTGTATCACTACTAGTCTTCTAAATGTATTCATTACTATGACATATAAGAGAGCTTAAGGCAATCTCTTTAGGCTCATAATAAATCTACCAAGTACAAAAGTGCTTGCTTATTTTGCTGGGTTTGTTACAACAGAATAGCTTTACTGGAACCATTAAAGTACCTCTGATTAAATTACCTACAGTTTTTTCTTTTCTTTCAAGTCCTATTTAAATAATAAATCCAGTGACCAGTCTGGGTCCAGGCTTCAGGAAATTGATCTACAAAAGAATTATTCTGCTTTTCCTTAATTTCATATCACTAAATTTCAAGAGCTCCCTTACTTAATCCAGAGGAATAAAAGTTTAATTTGAGGCCATGAGAGAAATATTAAGAAGCAGCCCCCACTGTGATAAATATTTTCAAGTCAAATGCTCCCGTGACTGCTGAAGTGTAAATAAGAAAAAAGATGGGTGAGAGAGCAGAGTGTGTGTGTGTTATGAGTGTGTTGAAAGAGATGAAGAGGTGGTGATTGGTTTTTGGGGATGGGGGGGGGTGGGTGAAGGGACACAGTCTCACTCTGTTGCCCAGGCTGGAGGGCAGTGGTACGATCTCAGCTTACTGCAACCTCAACCACCTGGTTCACGTGATTCTCCCATCTCAGTCTCCTGAGTAGCTGGGACCACAGGCCTATACCACCATGCCTGGCTAAGTTTTGTATTTTTAGTAGAGGTGGGGTTTTGCCATGTTGCCCAGGCTGGTCTGGAACTCCTGGACTCAAGTGACCTACCTGCCTCAGACTCCCAAAGTGCTGGGATTACAGGTGTGAGCCATGGCACCTGGCTAAGGTAGGCAATTTAAGATGAAGGAAAAAAATAAGTTCTGCTTAAATTAAGCCTATAGTTTAATTTACTGTATGCTGTATAAACATTTATTTTTATTTTGTTTTGAGATGGAGTCTCACTCTGTTGCCTAGGCTGGAGTACAGTGGCATGATCTCAGCTCGCTGCAAACTCCGCCTCACAGGTTCAAGCGATTCTCCTGCCTCAGCCCCCTAAATAGCTGGGATTACAGGTGCCCGCTACCATGCCTGGCTAAATTTTGTATTTTTAGTAGAGACAGGGTTTCATCATGTTGACCAGGCTGGTCTTGAACTCCTGACCTCAAGTGACCCACCTGCCTCAGCCTCCCAAAGTCCTGGGAATTCAGGCATGAGCCACTGCATCCAGCATAAATAACATTTAAAGAACAGAAAAGATTTGCACATATACGTAATTTATTTAGCAGAAGAGATTAAGCATGGAATCTGCAGGGTATAATGAAATGCTTATGTAGAATATCAAATTCATCCTCACAGATATAGGTCAAATTCCACTGATCTTTCCATTATTTTCTGCCTTTTCCTTCACTCTTTTCCCCATCCTCATCTCTGAGCTGGGAGTAATCTCTATCTTCTGTGAGCATATAAAATTCTTGTATCTGTGTCTCTCCCATGGCACTCACCACTTTCTGTCTTACAATACAGTGATATTTCGCTCCATTATGGATCTGTAAACGTTTATGTCTGTTTCCAACTTGTACCCTCTACTCCTGCCCCACAAAGCAGTGAGTGGGGCAGAATGAGTTTGTTGAATGAGTGAATGAAACAAGTGTTTCAAACACTCCCTCATTTAAAGCTCAGTCTATTTGGAGAACGTCCTTGCAAAGATTATTCTATCCTGATAATCAGTCACCCGAGTTTTTCCTCTTATGAATAATCTCCTAAACTTAGTTTCCAGGTCTGAATGCATTAGACTCTGAAATAAATGTTACATGAAAGCAGAGAGATTTTGGCTATCTCTTTCAGAGCTGCATCCATAGTGATGAGCATCGTGTGTAGCACATAATAGGCACTCAGCAGATATTTAAGGATGTGTACAAGAAACCATTTACATACTTGTTGTGAGAACATCTTTGAGTTAAGCAAACAAAGAAAGCCCTGTGCTCTAAAAATTACCCAAATGCACTTTCTCATTTAATTATTGCATGAAATGCACTCTTCATATAAAAACATTTATACCTAAATTTAACTCAATGAGAGGAGATTCCTTCTCTGTGGAAACATGAAGTTTTAAAATTTAGCTCTCAACTTCTCCTTGGAAGTTAAGAACCAGAACTGGACATGATGTTTAAGATAGACAAACTCAAAGGCAGCAATATCTTGGCTTTGAAAAAATATCACGAGCTTTAGATCCAGGCTACTGTGAATCAGAACTCTCACTAGCTTATTCATTCATTCCCTTCTGGGGCCTAAAATTGAACTGGACACATTGTGTGTCCTCAAAATGCTCACATTTCTTCTCTATGGTCTTAGACAATTTACTTAACCCAGTGACTTTCAACCTTACTTGAACACTACATAACATCACATAAAAACAAGTAAAACAAATGACCAGTGCTTAGACTCAATGCTACACCAAATAAATGAGCATTTCTGACTATGGCATGGCCTAAGTGGTTATAGTTTTACAAAACGCCCAGGTGATTCTAACATAAAACCAGAGTTGAGAGCCACTAAAATGCCTCTTATATCCTCAGTTTCTTCATTTTTCTAATGGGAAAAATAATACCTCTAGTGTAAGATTACTGTAAAAAATTAAGGAAAATATCTGCAAAGTGGTACAAGACACATGGTTACTTCAGAGACTAATGTAAACTGGTCCATTCATCCATTCTCTGGTGATAACTTAAAGATTAACTTTCAATAAGTATAAAGTAGCACCTACAAATTCACTCCAAATGAAAGAGCAAAAATTACCCCGAAGAAGATAGAAATGGTTTTTAACTTCAAAGTGAAGTGAAGAGGAAAGATTCAGTAAGAGGACACAAGAGGAGGGGAAAAGCAGAAGTTAAACCATCAGGTTAAAAACAGAGGTTAAAGCTGTCCCATCCAGCTCCAGGGTGGGCCCGGACAACCCCACAGACAAACTTCCACATCCTCCTCCATTCACCTCATGCGGCAGAACTTTGAGGACTTTGAGAACTCAAACTCCCAAGGACCTTCTACCCAGGTTACCAATTTAAAAAAATCTGTTTGAAGGATAAGTTTTAGAGAAATGGGGACTTTAAAATGAGATAGAATGGGAATAAAATATTTGAAAGAATTTAAATAAAAGGATAAGTTTATATAAAGCAAGACAGTGAACAAGGTAATAAAAGGACAACTTTACCAAAAATAATAACTAAAAAGTATAAATAAAAGTCAAGTTAGATTACGTTAGGTTGAGCTGGTAATAAGATGATGTTTATTTATAAAGGTTATTTACAAAGATAGCAGCCAATATTGAATAATGGAGAAAATATGAGGAAACAAAACTGATGTAATCAGCTTTGAAATGCCAAGAGAGGCCCCTGAGTAGGATCTTCTGCTTAAGAGGAACCAGTAAGAACAACATAAAAAATAGTCTGTGTTCCTTTCCCAACATTAGCTCACAGACTTGTGAACATACAGTGCAGCTTCTTTAACTAAAAAAAAAAAAAAAGAAAAACCCATTAGAAAATGTATTCCAATCACAGGTCAAAGTTAAGAACAAAGAGAATGAAGATAAACATAAAAGTCAGATCTGGGAAGCTAAACAAATATTTGTAAAGACTATTGCTGTACAGAAAATTTTCTGTTGCCCAGGGCATAATAGAGACAAATTGCAAATAGGAAAAAATGACAATCTTCAAACATCTGACATGATCGACTGAACCATGAGTATTGAAAACGATGGCTTTATTATTATTGTGGCACAGCATAACAGCTGCATGTGAATTCCTGGAATTCTTACTCATAGAAAAAATAATTTAATAACTATTGCAAGGTTATTTTATTTTTAGAAAGATTTCCACAATGATTAATTTCTATGGAAATTTAAGGATTTTTAATCAAATGAAGGCAGCCTGAATGTAGATGCAGCAGAGATGATTCCAGAGTTAGGAACCCTGGTGTGGCTTCACCTCCACCTCAACCCCACAGTGTGATCCAGGCGGCTCACCTCACCTTTCTGGTTTTAGCCTGTTCATCTATAAAGATAGTAATTCTACTGCTACATAAGAAGTCTAATTGTTTCCCAGCTTTAAAAAAAAAAAAAAAAGTCCTTTGGTTTCAGATATCATTCCTAAGGAAATACCAAACCACACATAAATCTTTCATTTCAGGCTTTATTTCCTTTAAACAACATTAGGCCCATAAATAGCTATACTTTCTGAAAAACAAGAATGCCTCCCCTCCATTAGAAAAAAACCTTAAGAAAAAGTTCATCAAGAAAGTTTCCATTTAGCCCTCTTCAACTTCCAAAATTTAAAACTCGATGGTATAAGCAGAGCCATTTGTTTCATAACTCTTGTTTTTTAATCCTATTTATTTTCAGTTTAAACATTTAGAAATCTATGAAATATTAAATTCCTTTTATAACTACTCTGCCAAAGTGTACATTGTCCTTCTCCATAAGGAAATTGTAGAAGCATTTTTGGTTGAATTTTAACCAGAAATCACAGCAAGTGTCTTAAATATATATATTTCTAGGTATTACATATAACATACTTAGATGAAAAGAGAAATATTATCAGAAAACGTATCTTCCCATTATGTCTGCATTGTGGCTATACCCTGTACCTCACTACTCTTCCCTATAAACCACATTCTCTGTTTCATTTAAATTGACTGCAATCACTATGTATTCTGAAGTAAAATGTTTAAAATTTGAAGATTTAAAAAACTAGAATGAAATTAGACTAGAATGGAGATGAAGACATACGTGGCGTGTAGATCAAAATAATTATATTTTATTGTAATCTCTTAGGCCACATAAGATTTAAAATTAAAAGATATCCACATGAATACTAGCTGAGTATCCTTGATTTTTTTATTTACACATTTGATTCTCAGGCCAAGTTACTATCCTTGAATGTCAAAAAGATGAACTTATACTCAAGAAGGTATCAAAAGTCAAAACATGCCAATAATTTGGAAAAAAGAAGGCAAACGATTTCATTTTTAGAAATTTCTCCACATTAACATTATTTTCAATGCAATAGTCTAGGATCAGCCATGCTACATTTTAATTACCTTAGGTTACACGGTAAGCATGAATAATAAAATATCAAACTCTAAAACCATTTAGTTCGATGCAGGAACAAGCAAAGATAAATCCAAATGTGCAAACCCCAAATCTTTGTAAACGAGCAAACAAACCAAAAAACCCAAGCAGAAAAGGGTAGAGAAGAAAGTATTATAATGCCTTCCCCAAATCCAGAATAGTCAAGTTAATTAAACTGGAGTTTGACAAACCGCTAGAGAACAATCCACATGCACTTTTCTGGACTTTACTTTCCAGGCTTAGACATTATTTCTCGTACCAAGCATGCAGGTGAATATACTCTATCTTCAGCTGCACAGAGATGAATGTTCAGTATACGCATTGGCTTATTAATGAGAACATTGGAGAATAGGTACAAAGCCACCTACCATTGTCACTGTCTCCTTCAGATGGAACACTGTAGCTAGAGCTGTCCCATGTCTGTGCCTGTGTAAGTGTGTTGAAGGAGATAGGAGGAAGAATGAGGGCTGGGTCTGCAGGGGAGCCAGAGAGCCAGTCCGCGTACAGTTGCACAAGGACCAGGAAAAACCAAAGGGGCAGCAGCATTTCACAAATGGCATAGGGTTTGCATGGAAATGAAGAGTGGATTTCATTTATATGGGGTTTAATTTCAAATGCACAATATAGGAGAAGAATGAAAGATGGTGCATGGAATAAAAAGAATGATAAAAACTGAGTGTTAGTACCCATCAATCATACACTTTGCATGCAGTTCATATTGTTAATCTTAACAGTTCTGCAAGCCCACAGACTTAGAGTACTAATGAATCAGGTCAGAGGAAAGAAAGAGTACCCAAAGGTTAGGTAGATAAAAAGGCAAAAGACCTGCCAGATACCTTTCTCAAAGACTTTCTAAAAAACTAACAAAATGCGATTCACACACAAAAATATTGGTGACATAGAATAAAACTTAATATGTGTAAATATATCTATTATTTATAAATAAAACTATTATAGAATCATCATTTACCATTAGTGATTTTTTTTTCTCCAAAGCAATGTCAAATTTCTTTTTAAAGACATCTGTAGGTCTATTGGCATGCTTTATAGATAGCTGAATCTAGCTAATTCTTTTCTCAATCCTGGACATACCTCTCAATACTGTTTTCAATATTGCTCAGTTAAAAAACAAAAGACAAAAAATGTTGGAGACTAGTACAGTCTATTTAACAACAAATCCAATTAACCAACAGAGATCAATCAATTTCAAGAACTTCTGAGTTGGTCACTTATGAAATGATAGCAACTCTTACTTTTGCACTAAATATCCATATGGCAATTTCATATTTAGGAAATATCTATATTATTTTTTATTCAGTCATAAGGCAGGGTCAGTAAAATAAGTGGATATAGTTCTAGACATAAATATTTGGGTATGTGCAGTTGTCTTCGTTTGGGAGGAGGACCCAGAAAGAAATGAAAGAAACTGTCAGCCTACTCTAAGTTCTTATTTCAACTTGCTAATTTAAGCAGTCCGTTTTTATTTATAACACAGAAATCACATAAATCCACACACTTTCAAAATAAAAATTAACTGGCTTTAAGCATTCTAAAGCTACTCAATCAAAAATGGTTTCTATCTTTTAAAACTATATGCTTTCCAGTTAAGATTACTGTATATATTACTTTCCAGAAAATGTGAAAAATACATTTAAGCATATATACTATAATATGTTAAAATTGTTAAATCAAATGAAAAAAATCTCCATACATAATGCAACTTTTATAAAGTTCCAACATGTCACTTGATGATCCTGAAGATAAATAGCATTATTTACAGCAACCAAACTCCACAGAGCTTTCAACAACAAGAACAATTTCCACATTGGTTAGTCAGCATTATAGAAAGGCTGGAAGCTTGGAGAGGAAATTAACTTCGTTTTCTCCTATTCAAAATAAAAGCTCCATTTATTTTTCACTGCTACAAAGAATGTGAAATGGTTTAACAGCCCCAGTACAACGTAAACCCTAACTAATAAGTTCAGTTTGGACTCTATAAAAAGAATAAAAAAGTCACCAAAATAATTCTACAATTGCAACTTACACATTCAACAGAATATTATTCTTTGAAGATCCATTCAACTTTGATTCGCTCAATTATACCATACTTTTAAATTGTGTAAAACTGACTGTGAGGATTAGGAGACAGTCTGCAGCTCAACATGAAGTCCTCAGTGTGTAAAGTAAGTCTCCTGGCGGGTCGTCACTGAAGGCACAGATGCGGTGTGCCTGGACTCACCCCCATTCCTCCCAGGACACACCTGAGACCATGGAAATGAAAACCCAGCCAAGGGCCTCAGCCCAGAACTGATCACATTTGCTTAGTTCCAAACATGAGAAGACCAGCCATTTGAGTTTTATTTCATGTAAAATTTGGCTCTCCATAAAACACTCACTAACCCTTGTCACACTCAAGCACTTTCTCAAATGGCTTTTTTCCTACGGCCCATTCAAACTGCCAGGAAACCATTACACCTGGCCAATTGTCACCCATCAATCAACCTGCCCCAAGAATGAAAAACATTTCCTTTATTAAAGTATCATCTTTATTTTTCCTATGGGTGCCTTTTTGCAAAATATACACATGTATGACCTCTACTGTTGTCAAAATGCGTTGCTGGAGAATTCAAGAACATCTGAGTTCCCTACCAGCTCTTAAAAGTGTCTGAATTCTTTATTAGCACTTGCTTAAAAGCATGAGTAATAAGTGTAGACTAAATACCAAAGAGTCAAAAATATTAAAACAAAGAAAGACCTAAAAGAAGGAAGATTAGCAACAGAACTTCAAATAAATGGAGAAATCAGAAGAATCAAATTTTTCTATACAGAGTGCTTCCTTTTCAAAAGCAACCATTATTTTGTACATTGCTATAATTTACTTTTGTGAATAAACTCATAACAAATTAAAATAAAATTGGTAATATAAGCAGAATGCTTTCTCAAAAGACTTTTTAAAAAGTAATTCCTGACCACTCACGCAAGCCTTGAAATGACCACTCTGTTATGTGAGTAAACACACAGAACCTACCAGACTCAGAAAGCAAATGAGGATGTCTCAGAAAGGAGTCACTTTTCCAGAGGCAGGCTGCCCCTTAACTCAGCCGAGCACCAGGAACCACTGGGGCCAAAGGGCAGCTATTTTATCTTCCTTAGGTAAAAAAAAATCAATAGAGTATTTCGTCCCCACTTACATGCTCCCACCTTTTTCTTCTTTGCTCTGATTCAAACGAAGACAGGTTATCCACTACTGATAACACAGACTTAGCTGATTCACTGAAAACAAAGCTACAAACTCTGGCCTCCCCTAGCTGTAGATGCCAGGATTTCAGCTCAGCAGAACTGACAAGGATGTGCACATTGATAATGCATACACTTAAAAGGCTCAAGAGAAAGCAATGAGTTATTTAGTGTAAGAATGGGCTGAGGTTTTCATTTACCTGATCGAGGCTTCAGGCCAAATGGAGCTGTGCTGTTTGTGGTAGGAGAGACTGCAGGGGAGTTCTCTCTAATCTGTGGTGTTGGAAGGAAAGGAAATTAGGAAAAAAATAAAAGAACAAAAGAAGAAAACAGAAGAAGAACTACGTATGGTTTTCTATGTTCAAGGATTGTAACAAAACTACTCCCTTTTCACATTTGCTGCTGTGTGATGAAGTCCTGGCTAAAAAAAAATCACCTTGTAAAGATGTTAAGTGGCATAATCAACAGAATGTTGTTTTAGAGTGACCCACTCAGTTTGTTTTGCCCATTTTAAGAACATTTTACAATTATATGTGACACTGGCAATCCTCTTGCACAGGTGTGTGCATGGGTGCATGCACACACACACACATATATCCACTTATATCAGGGCACATCTGATGAGGAAACAGATAATACTGAACTCAGTAATACTGAATCACACACTGAATCATTTATGGAGAACAAGACATTCTAAATGTTGCCTATTTAAGTGATCTTCATTCTGTTTTCTTGTAAAGATGTTCCCACATTCGGTTTTTAAAAACATATCTCATAAAAATAAATATTTAATTATGAATAGGACCAGATAAAGCTATGATAGCCAATGAGAGTTAGACAGATTTCCCCAAAGACTCAATTAATCCCAAGTCTTAGATTATATATTTCTGTAAAAGATATTCCAATCCAGCCATCAAAAAACACCTCACCTTCCATGAATCTTCAAGAAACTTACCTCATTTGGAGAATACTGGCTCCCATTACTCTGTAATGTTAGATCACTTTGCACCTTAAAAAAGAAGAAAAAAGCATGGTATGTTCCATTAGACTGTGAGACTGTTGAGGCAAGAACTGCATCTTTCTTACTGCCATCATGTCCCCAGTCCATGGGTACACAATGTATATCTGTTGAATTAGTTAGTGTGTTCAGTAGCTAGGTAGACCATACTCATATGTTCTGAAAACATGCAGCTGTATTCATAGAAAAATACATCTAAAGTATTATACAAACTAAGATAAAGAATTTCCCAGAGCAAGGAGTTCACTCCAAAATATCTGTGGATGTCAGCTTACCTTGCTAGGTGAACAAGCTGCCTGCTGGTTCCCATCCTCATTTTAATTATGGTTTTTAGAAATGGCTCAAGGTAGTACTTCCTAAATATGCAGAATCACATTGGGAGCATTCAATAAATACACGTCTGGACCCCAAATTAACTGGGCAAATCTCATGTTGTCAGTTCAACATCAGATTACTTTGGCAACTACTGGTTAAGAGAAAAAATTACAAATTTTTTTTCTGTCATAAAATGTGCAGGATTTATAACTGGTCATGGAGAAAAGTCAAGATGACATCCTGATTTCCAGCAGGAATGACTGGGTAGATGGTAGCATCACTGAATACCACGGAGAACACAGGAGCAGTTTAAGAAGAAGTTGATAGTTATCAGTTTAGCTATGTAGAGAAAGAGAAATTTGTGGGGCATGGAGATAAAATCTGACTGCTGGGGTACAGGGGGGAACTTGAGGCATGAGCTACAGGTTTCAAAGTCATTATTATATATGGGGTGCCTGAGTCCACAAGGTGACCAGATGGTCCAGAGAGATAGTGTAGAAGTTGAGGAACAGTGGCTGAGAGCAAAATCTTGTAAAACCAGCATGAAAGGGACACATAGAAACAAGTGGCCCACAAGGGACGCACTCTAGTTTCTTACCCAGATCTGCCTTCTTTATAAGGTAGTCAAGAACCCCCTGATCCTCCCTGATAAAAAATTGGGTGTTAGCTTATATAAACACCTTCATATATGCCACCAAATTATTGTACATTTAAGATGCCTGTTCCTATTCATTGTTGAGGAGTGCTATTTACAAACCTTCTCACCTTTGACACAAATCCAAGAGGAAACCATATTTTTAGAATAAAATGTCACTAATGTCCCTATTCAATTAAATGGCTTTGTTAGAGTTGCTAACAAGTAACTTCAGGTTTGATTCTTTCTATAAGCAATTTCTTTCCTCTAGTTTGCCCTATCATCTCCCAGACCCTTCCCCGTTCGATATTATTTATGTAAGAGCCATACAATTTGCAATTCTTCCTGCATGGATGACAGTGCCACCCACACTTGATGTGGACAGTCACGTAAAGTATGTTTAAAGTCAGATCACGTGATGTGCCACCAATTACAAGCCGCTTCATAATCCTGGCCTCCCCTTTCCGTGTGGCTCACAGAGAGCTGATTCCCCATAGCCACGTTGTCTTGCTCAACATAGCTCCTGGCTACAGGGCCGAACCCCAAAATGCCCAAAGTCTAAGTTTACTTTCCTCTCCTTAAACTCTACCCCTTCCCCAGTGTCCCTGAGCACCTAAAACAAGCTCAGGACTGCAGACCATCTTATTTCTTCTGTAAATTTTTCAACATCTAAATCCTCTTACTCCCACAATTAAAAAAAAATTAATTAAAGTGAGGGCAACTTCAGAGCCTTCATCTTCCAGTCCTTTACACAAAAACAAGGCTGAATCTAGCACAGGCACTCAACAAATACTGGCGGATCAATATAGGGCTATGCTGAAAGATGTTACTTTCTGCTTGAATGAGACAGAAGAATATAAAAATAACCAAATCATAAGTAAAGATCATATTTTAGCTCTACATAATCCTTATCACTGGCCCTGTGAATTCACTACTCTCTTTTCTTTTCCTTGTGACTTCCTTTTTCCATCGGAGCCAGCTATTCCCCCTCCGTTTTTAAAATCATAGAGATGTGTCTGCCAAGGACAGATAATTGCCCTACAGAAGGAAAACAAGGAGTGAGAATTCCTTATGCCAAATACTCCTCCTTCAACCAAAAAAGAAAAAAAATAAATAAACCTTATGTTAAAATAACACAAAACATTGTAAGTTGGAGATAGAATAAAAGTATCTTTTTTTTTTTTTTTTGAGGTTTTCTGTCTTCAAGGGACTCCCGAAATCATGGACACAGGTATATACGTGTTTTTAAAACTATGAGAGTGAAAGTTCAAAGACATTTTAAGTAGCATGCTAAAATGAAGGTGCTAAGGAAGGTTGGACCTGGTACATTCTCTGAGTACAGAGGAGTAATACAATCTGCCCAATTAGAGCAGAAAATTCACTCTGGAGACAAGGGTGCAGTAGCTGGCTGGGAGGCCCTCACAGCACTGAGCACAGAGCCTGTGCAGAGCTGTAGCTCGACACCTATGGGCTTAATGGCCTTGGCTGATGGAACAAACAGACTCATCACTGGAGGGAAAGCTGGGTTGGCCCAACTGACCGAATGATTGATATATCACTTGGAAGTCAAGTTTCCTACTTTAGGAGGATATTAGGCTTTTCCACATAATATAATGGTAGCAAGCATGGTTAAACTTCAGGAAAAACCCATGAAGCTTTATGAGCATGTGGAAAAGTGTCAGATGATTTTCAAGTTAGACAAGCACAAGGAAATGAATTTAGAGGAACATAATATACACCTTACCTAAACAATGGAGTGTTTGCAGCTATCAGTTAAGACCCAGAGATCTGTACATCAAATAAGCAGTACACTGAAATTTTGCTTACCAAAGCCTAATCCTTATCATTTAATTTCCTATCTCTTTCTCTTTCTTCTTCCCTCCCTTCCAGAAATCCTCACTAACTACTCACTGTGTACCAGGTACAGCTGGGTCCCACTTCGAGTGAGAATGCTAAGTGTTTGTGCTATGCAATGAGAAAGACAAACAACAGGAGAAATAAAGAGGAGATCAGTAAGTAGAAATCCATTCTGAAAATCTAGAACTGACTGCAAAGATACAGTTCACCTTTGCTGATGGGAAAATGGGAGGAAACTCTACATAAAACAGTCTTGGGCTGATATTAAGGAAATGTGACATTTAAACATTCCTTCCCAAAACACCAAAATGTTTAATATCAGTAGCAATTTCTAATAACCATTGGAATTGTGTAGTTAGTAAATCAGTGCATGTATTGCTATTAGATTAAAAGATGGGATGAGGGTAGGTGCGGTGGCTCATGCCTGTAATCCCAGCACTTTGGGAGGCCGAGGTGGGTGGATCACCTGAGGTAAGGAGTTTGAGACCAGCCTGGCCAACATGGCGAAACTCTGTCTCTACTAAAAGTACCAAAATTAGCCGGGCACGGTAGCAGGTGCCTGTAATCCCAGCTACTCAGGAGGCTGAGGCAGGAGAATTGCTTGAACCCGGTAGGTGGAGGTTGCAGTGAGCTGAGATTGTGCCACTGCATTCAACCTGGGCGACAAGAACGAGACTCTGTCTCAAAAAAAAAAATAAATAAATAAAATAAAATAATTACAATAAATTTAAAAGAAGATGGGATGAAAACTAGACCTAGACAAAACTATGAACTGGGCTCAGTCTATATTTAGTATATACCCATCCCTTATTTCTTCCATACCCATTCACATTATTGGAAGCATTGCTCATGCACACATAAGTATCATGGCTGCTCTTCTTCTGCCAAGATCTGCTCTGAAGAAAACATTTGATGCAGTCAGGCACCTCTAAGGTTTGTAAGCATGACAAGACTTAGTGTTGCCACTAGTCCACAGCATGAAGAGGCAATATACTGCAGTAGGAAAGCAGGGCCAAGCCTTTTACATGTAAGTGACCTGGCCAGTCACTTGATCTTGAGCTTCAAATCCTGCATCGTCACTCAGGTATGATAACTCCCACTTTTCACTTATACCTTATCTAGAATCTAAACTCGTAAGTGTAGGAGCTCTGTGTCTTTAATGTTACTTTCTCAGTGTCCAGAGTGGTGCTTGAGACATGGGAGGCAATCGACGAATATTTGTTGAAGAAATGAAATAACGATAATTTATGTAATATACAAAGCACATGGTCTGGCATGTAGGAATACTTCCTTTTTTTAAAAAAAATCAGGAATTATACATTTTAGAAGACAAAATTATTGCAATGACCATCCAATTGTGTATTAAAAATGTAGGGGATATATCTTTATTCTCCAAGTTTTGTGTCTTTCTTGTGCTCCTGAAACCACATAAACAGGTGGCCATCTGCTATTTTACTAGACTCAAAAGTGGGTCTACAGCTGGATGCTAAGATGGTCTTGAACTATCTCATCACAGACTGCTTGTTAGCTGCAATGAAAAAATAAAACCGCAATTACACGGTGGAGAAATGGAGTCATATCTTGATGGGGTGATCAAATTAACATCACCAAAGAGGGACAGATGGCCATAGTGTGGCACCAAATTACAGGCTCACACCTGTAATCCCAGCACTTTGAGAGGCTGAGGAGGAAGGATCGCTTGAAACCAGCAGTTTGAGACTAACCTGGGCAACAAATCGAGATCTTATCTCTACAAAAAAAATAAAATTAAATTTTAAAAAATTATTTCCAGATAAGAAGCTAAAAAAGAAGTTAAGTCTGCACAGAACCAAAATCAACCTCAAAGGAAGAACCTGATGAAATGGGTTCGGGGAGACTGCAAATAAAAGACTTCCAATGTCCCACTATCAGGTAATTCAATTATGCCTCCACCCAGGGAAGAGGTGGTACAGTAATTCTGTTTAAAGACCACACCAATAACAAAAATAGAGAAGCAAGCTAATAGCTAACATTTAGATATTCTATATTATGTGACATTTTCTGAATCAAAATTCCTAATTCGATCTTTACAATAGGTATTATGATCCCAGTTACAGTAATGAATGTTGAGAGAGGCTAATTAAGTTCCCCACAGTTAGCCAGTCTTTGAGATGGGACTGACACCTAATATAATTCCAAGTCACTGCACTTAACAATGAAACCACACTCTCTAGCAACATGGCTTTTCCTTTTATAGTGACACTTCCTTTTTCCTTATTTCTTTAACACAGAGACAAAGTTAAGTCTGTGAAACCGCTTTACTATAGTACATGTGCACATACCTCAGTGGGGCATCAACTGTTGGTACACAATCTTGGTACCTAAATTAGCCATCCTAAATCCATTCAGGAAATGGGTTGTAACCTATGTTTCACTCCCAGATCACCAGCTCAAACTTCTCTCTCTCTGACTGGGGTAACATTCTCGCTTTGTGACATTCTAAGCTCATCTCTAGTTTTATGTCAAAACTGCTTTCGTTACAGCCACCCACATTTCACTCCATGTAACTCTACCGAACCCATCCTTAACCTGTCTTCAAATATCCCCACCAGTTTCTCTTTATGATATTCTTTTAATCCTCCTCGACATTCTCAAGTCATTTATTCTTGTCTTTCAGGTGTTTTCTAGCTAATTTCCATCTAGCCAATTCCCAGATTTTTTCTTGGCTCTAAAATCTACATTGAACGGTCCTCCTCCAGGTTCCGACACACAGGCAGATTCCCTATGTATTTTAGTTGCCATCGCTTGACTCAGCAAGATGATCTGAGGTAAAAAAATCTACAGAATCCAATAGAAATAGCCAACTCTCATCTTTAACAGAGGGTGAGGTAGAGTAGAAAAGCAGAACTAAAGAGGCAAACGTACAAACAAGTTGAAAAATGTGTCCTGAACAAATCTGAATATCGGCCTCATTAATAAAGATGTTTCACTCCCTGACAAATCTTTACAGAATGTGGTGGCCGGTATTCCACGGCAAAATATTGCACAGAGTTCTGGTGAATCCCACCAGCAGCCTTACCTCACATACTGGAGATGTTTCCAGCTGTATTTGACCACTGTGGGAACAAGGAAAGAAAAAAAAAAGATATAAAGTGAAATTTAAAGCATAAAAATGTCAATGTATTATAAAAAGAGAAAATATAATTTGTTATAAAAGGTAAGCATACTTCAGTGCAGAATCTTGTAATTCTAAGGCTTCTGCTGATCCCATAGGATATAGGTTTAAAACACTTCTCTCTGTAATATCTGTGCTCAATCTAAACAGTAGGAAAAAAAGATATTCGTAAATTTATTAAACTTTTATTTTTAATAAATTCTATTGGTCTTATCCAGTTCAAATTTTTAATGTACTAAAAAGTTATGTTTATCTTTAGGGTTAAGTGAGGAAAAGTTTACGACAGAAATTTCAAAGTGCATGGTATTTTCCCACCATATGCCAAAATATAATATTCCACCTGCTATTGGTAATACAATCCAACTTGTTTATAATATAATTGTAATTCCTAATAAAATCAAAGTTTTCAGAGGTAGTATAGCATATACTCAATTTTATTTTAGAACTTTATGAATTTACAGAAGCAAGTCAAGCTGCTGAGAGTATTACATTATAGTATATGTACCAATGGCATTTGGTTTTAATAGGGAGATATACATTGTATCTCTCACTTAAAAAAACCACAAGCAATTTGATATGCATTTTTACTTCTGAAATAGTCTCACATAGTTTCTAAATTTCTGCTATTTTAAGAGATGAAGTTTTTTTTTTTTTTTTCCTTAAAGGCCTATAAAGCCAGGAATTTCTGTAAGTTATATAAAAGTTATAAAGTCATCTTAAACAGGGGTGCGTTTATATTATAGAGGCCTGTGAAAATGCTCTCAAACTAACAATCAGAAGGCCTTGAGAGAAGAAGCCAAGATAAAGACAGAACAGCAATAGCCAACTAAATTTTCTGACACATAAAAGGTAAACTTTTAAAATTTAATCCTACAATCAATGGCTTAATTAAAAAAGAAAAAATTCCTGGATCTATGAAATGTGAGATAAAAGAAAAAACACAATGTGTATGTAAACTTTTTTATTACTAATATTCAGTCCCAAAGCAGTTAGAAATAAATGACATTTTGAAGTGTCCTCTCTATATCAGAAACAAAACCATGGCTCTTCATGACTATTATACTGGCTCACAGAAATATTATAAAATTAGATGTCATATTATAAAAATTATTTCAGGATAAATAACAATGATCTAAAGCAGCCAAAGTAGTGGATTATTTTAGAAAGACAATGAAATTCATACAAAATTTTACAACATAATATTTTGAAATAGTGCTCCATAAAGGTGCGAATCAAGTATTACTTGGAAGGTTAGTTGAAACTGTTTTCTTCCACTATCTTAATATATTTCCTTTCATCTTATTTCCTTCTTAAAATCCATCTTAATATATTTCCTTCCAGTTTTTCTAAATTTCCTGCACAACTGGTACCTAATTCTATCTATATAATTGGGATCAAACATTGTGCATTTTTACATACTTTTTTTACAAAAAAGTTATACACTTTTTTAAAAGCATAAAAGCATTCTATGATATCACTAGAAACTTTAAAAAACATTATATTGGCCACATCACATTCCATCTTATCAATGAGTATAATACACTTAAAGTATCCCTAAATTGTTAGATAATTTCTTTTTCCAAATATTTGCTATTAAAAATACCTATCCCTCATTCTCTACCCCAAACTGTTCACGTCTTCTTGTCTCTTAGGATAAGTTCTTAGATTTCACTCCAAAGTTTTATATAGGTTTCTAGACTTGGTTACATACTAAGTTACTTCTGGAATGGTTTTGCCAATTTACTTCTCCACCAGTAGTTTATGTATTATTTCAAATCCTCATAACCCTAAAAGGTAGGTACTTGTCACCCCATCTTATAGATGAAGAAACGGGATGCAGAGAAGTCATATAACTTACCCAAGTTAACTGATGCTGCAGCTATGTTTAAAGTTTCTAGCTAATTCAAAGTCTGTTCTTTCCACAAGCCACCCTACTTCCTGATTCATTATAATGAATACATACACACATGCACAGGCCTACATGTACTTACATGTATGAACAACCATACACATGAATGCATACACATAAACACACATCCTTTCACTAACTGCCCTGGCTCAGGATGTAGAATTCAGCTCTTTGAACATACCTTGATTAGGTGCCTATGACATGAGCCAAATATAAGGGAGAATTAACATGAATAATCACGTTTAAACACCATCATTGCCTCCCTCTAAATATAAAATAAAATCTGAGCTCCTTAACAGCATCCAAAGCGGTTGCCTGCATCATTCTACACTGTCTCTGGTGATTCTCAGTCCTGGCTGCACATCAGAAGCACTGGCTGACTCCAGTCCCCAAAGGAAGTGCCTGGGGTCTATTCTGAAAAAGTTCCACAAGTGATACTGAAGCACACTAGGATGGAGAGCCTCTGTTCTGCCTGAGATTTCCCCAGCCTGGCTCCATTCATTCTGACCTTCATGCCTTTACCTAAGCTTTTCATTCAATCCAGAATTTCTCTTTTTCTCGAAATTGGCAGTCATTAAAGGTCCAGGCCATTATCCTACCCTTCAGGAAGACCAGTCCACCCATCTCCCCTTTACCTGAGGTTGGGCACTTGCTCAAGTCTATCATTTTTACCTCCACTTGAAGCACTTGAATCAATTACAGTTATTTGTTTGTTTTATTATTATTATTATTATTTAGACCCAGTTTTACTCTGTCACTCAGGCTGGAGTGTGGTGGCTCAATCTCGGCTCGCTGCAATCTCTGCCTCCTGAACTCAAGCGATTCTCCTACCTCAGCCTCCTGAGTAGCTGGGATTACAGGCACGCACCACTATGCCCAGCTAATTTTTGTATTATTAGTAGAGACAGGGTTTCACCATGTTGGCCAGACTGGTCTCAAACTCCTGGCCTCAAGTGATCTGCCTGCCTTGGCCTTCCAAATTGCCAGGATCACAGGTGTGAGCCACTGCGCCTGGCCCAATTACACTTATAAATAACTGCTCAAGGCAATCTCTATCCATTCTAGTTTAAATTCTCGGAAGGCAAGAGCTGTGTCTTGTCCATCTTTGCATCCCCCAAGGTACACACTGCAGATCTTCCCACACTCCAAGCACTCAATCAATGTCTGCAGAATTGAAATGCCTTTCAAATCAATTGCAAAGGATTTCCAGCTGTACTAAACTGATCCACCACTATTCTTTCAGGGCCAGAAATCATAGGTGGTATATTCTCATTAGCATTCTGGGATACACTAACCACCCTTTTCATAAATTTGCAGAACCCAGCTGGGATCGCTGCAGTGTGATTCCCGTGTTCATCATATTGTAAGACCACATCAGTTTACCAAGTCCTCTAGTTCTCTAGAGATCATGAAGTTATTACCCGATACATGAAACCTGCTATTGTTTAGCTGAAAAATATTTTGTCCATGGGAATTCCATTACCATTAGTTAAGAAATAGAAAAATATTATCCACATATCCACTGCATGTGGTGCTTATTACTGATCAAGGCAAATTCACATTTAAAAATTATCCTGTATCCCAAATCTTTAGAAATATATTCTTCAGTTAACATATATTTGGCACTACCCCAGATAAATATACTACTACTTGATATACCAATTCTTTCCTTTTTGGAAAACGTTTTCTTTATATTTTTTATAAATCAGGAGTTTAAACTTTAAGCAATATGAAATATGTACTTTTACCATAGTTTTGTTTTCTAAGAATTATACCAAAAATTCCCATATGAATTTCGTGAGGGGTGAATGAACTCAATAAAGGGTGGTGAAAGGGGAAACTGATCTCACTCTCTCCAGAAGTTTGACTCTTTCACTTTTGCATCTTGGGAAAACAGGCAATAAACATGACTTTTGTTAGTAGCTGGACTGGGCCAAAATTATTTGTGTAGGTGTTTTAGGAATGTAGACAATGTACTCAATACATTAGTACGCATTATTTACACATGAAACCTGGACCAAGGAGACATACATACCCATTGGGATCTTGCAGCAAATCTACTGCTTCTCTCAGCTGCTCGATCATTGCTATATCCATGTCCTGATCTTTGGATGAACTTATTCTGTAACATGAAACCAAGCATAAGAATGAATATGATCAGCCAGGCATGGTGGCTCACACCTGTAATCCCAGCACTTTGGGAGGCCAAGGCAGGTGGAACACAAGGTCAGGAGATCGAGACCATCCTGGCTAACACGGTGAAACCCTGTCTCTACCAAAATTACAAAAACTTAGCTGGGCATGGTGGCGGGCACCTGAAGTCCCAGCTACTCGGGAGGCTGAGGCAGGAGAATGGCGTGAAGCCGGGAGGCGGAGCTTGCAGTGAGCCGAGATCGTGCCACTGCACTCCCGCCTGGGCGACAGAGCGAGACTCTGCCTCAAAAAGAAAGAAAAAAGAATGAAAATGATCAATACAACAGGAATGTCATCTAATTTCTTAAAAAACAAACTTACAAAAATCCATCTAACATATAAAAATGATTTTGACAGATTCAGTGCTATGGTGAACATGTGTTTGTACCTTGTGGGGTGGGATGCCAGAGCGTGGTGGGAAGAGCCCCTGAGTAGGGGAAGCCCAGCTCTGCTGCAAAGCAGCTCACATAAGATGTTTATGCCTGTGCGCCCCTAACTGCTCCTGTGCACAGTCAGGCAATGGCCTAGATGAGAGGCTCTCACAGTTGTGCTTTACTGAGTTCTAGGAGGGTTCATGAGGGGGATCAGCTGGACGAGTCTGTACTACTTCTAGGCCTTCCAACTCCCGTTCAACCAGTTTGATTACTTTAATGCATATAGGGTTTCAGTGTGGGACAGTGGTTCTCAGTCCAAACTCTAGATGCAGCAAAATCATCTGTGGCGCTTAAAAACCATGCCAGGCCCTATACGTCCAAGTGGGTCTGACTAGGGGTTCAGATTTTATAAAGCTCTACAGATAATCCTGGTTTACAGCCAGGGTTGAAAGCACTAGGTATAAGATTGAGAATGGAGTTTCCAAAACTTTATATAGTTTTAAAACAACTGCCTCTTTCCCTATGCTTCTCTGATTGTATAACCAAGTTAGGCCTCCGTGGCTCTCAGCAGCGTATCCAGTGAGTAGCTGGTAATACAGACGGTGACCAGAGAGGAACTTCCCAATGTTTTTAAAGGACAAGAGAGATTTGATCACGGCAAGCCCTTCCTGCTACAGAATGTAAGACAACAACTTTCTGTAAGGAGAAAAGTTTTAACAATGGGATAAATCCTCACTAAGAAGAAAAACCCTACAAGGTACGATGGAGAGTCCACACCTGCCTCCCAGATGATAGAAATAAAAATCCTGGGAACAAAAACTATACTCTATACCACATAGTCCAAACTCAATTTCCCTGGACACGGTTCATTGTCTAATGGGATCACACACCCCCTCCCCTGTAAATCTTGCTAAACAAATATTTATCCACAGTAGAGTAGAAGGATTATCTGTCTAGTACAAGATTCCTTGGGTTCAAATGCTGGCCCTCTGTGACCTTGCGGCAAGATAATCAATATTCCTGTGCCTCAGCTTTGTCATCTGTGAAATGGGGGACAAGAACAGAACTTGCCTGTTAGGAGTGTTGTAAAGATGAAATGAGTTATGGCCTGTGAAGTATTTAGGACAATGCCTGGCACATGATGTTGAATAAATGCTAGCCCTGGCAGTTGGAAGTCTTGGGACCAGAAGTCTATGGTGTTCTCAGATCTTGAAGGGGATGACTTGGGGTAAAGAAGGAGATCAGAGCTACAGGTCACTTCAGGTCCAGCTGTTGGCTTCTTCAGGCAATTGTATGGACAGTAGAACCTCCCATCTAGAAATTCTAGCTAATTCTCTGAATCACATGACTACCCACAGCCTCAAAACAAGTAAGACTCAAGGCCAAGGAAGAGGTTTGTACTGCCCAATATCATGACAAAAAGCATCGGACAGAGAAAAACTGGCAACTTCTTATCAATATTGTAAGAATATCAGCGTGCCCACAGAAAAGCAGGTCAAAATTCTATCACAATAGAACTGCCAGTCTGCTTGCAAGGTGGATTTTAGAGTGATGATGGCTCATAACCGAGGCCTTGGTACTCACATGCCCTCGGTTTGCCAGTGTACATCCTCTTCTATCCGTAACAGCTCTTCACAGTCTTCTGTCCTTGCCTGTGGACAAAACACACAGGGTTCCTGAAAACCATTGGCTACTCCTCAGTAGTCAGGAGCCAAAACCTGCCCAGCCCATGTTTATAACAGTGTTATTCACAATAGCCAAAAGCTGGAAACAAGCCGAACAGCCATCTATGGAGGGATGGATAAACAAAATCTGGAACGTACATGCACTAGAATGTCACTCAGCCTTAGAAAGGGCGAAGTTCTCACGCGTGCCATACACACAGATAAACCTTGAGGACATTATGCTACGTGCAATAAGCCAGTCACAAAAACACAAATACTGTACTGATTACACTTATATGAGGTGTACACCGTAATCAAATTCATCCAGACAGAGAGTAGAATGCTTGCTGCCAGGGGCTGCCAGGAGGGAACGAGGGACTTGTTATTGAAAGGGTACACAGGGTCAGTTCTCTAGATGAGAAGAGTTCTGGAGATAGGCTGCACAACGTGAATGTAGTTAAAACACTCTGAACTACGTGTACATTTAAAAAATGGCTAAGGTGGTACATTTTGTAAGTATTTTCCCATAATTAAACATTCTTTAATTTTAAAAAATGTGGCCCAGGACCACAGCATCTGTTAACTTATCATCAGAAATTTAAAGCTTCACCGGATTTCCTGTTGCCCTTTTAGCACCTCCTTGTATTGCGAGATCCCTCTCCTGGGCTTGTGGGTCACCTGTAAAGATGCACTCTAGTGTTTGTGACAGCAGGGATGTGTGTGAGAGTGTGCACGCATATGTGTGCAGTGGGGAAAAGAGAAAGTATAAAATTCTTAACAGAAAAGTGCTTCCGATTGTATCTAACAGTTTTCATGTGTACAACACCCAGAATTCACTCAAATGTTCTCCCTGCACTGTCACCCCACTTTTTCCCAAAGCGGCACTAGTGGCACTGGCTATTTAGAAAGGCAAGTCCCACCGTGAGCCTTCCACAGGCCTCCTTGCATGTTCATCTCTGACACAGAGAAACGCTGCTTTAACCCAGCTGATGGCTAGAACGAAAGCCAACCTGAATAGGGCCACATTTTCCTGGCTAGGAGAAAACACCAGCCAAAAGGACCACTATTTGTGTCAAGGTTCTGGCATATCATTAACTAACTCGGGACTAGCCAGTCCTCCAGATGTGTTGTTAGGACAAGAGTTTTCTCGAAGACATGGCTAGCTGCCCAATGCTAGACTCTGGCTGGGAACACACTTGGACTTTTTCTATGGTGGTTACACTTTTCACGTACAATACAGTCAATGCATAAATGACTGTGCCACTCTCCACACTCCAAATGACAGAAAAATTCATGGGTAAAATATACTACCAGAAATGACCAAGACAACATGTTCTTATTTTGTTTTGTTGGGTTTCAACCATAGGAACAATGGGTATTTCTTTTTGATTTTTTGTTTCAAAACTAGAAGTAGCCAAGAGTATAAAATGTCTCTTTTTTCATTAGGCAAAACAGGCTTACTGGGTGGCTTTTGCTAAGTTAAATGGTTATACAGTTGACTCTCATTATCTGTGGATTCTGCATTTGTGAGTTTGCCTATTCACTAACATGCATTTTTAGTTCCAAAACCAGTATTCGTGCCGCTCTGGAGGTCATCTGCAAACATCTGCAGAGAGGTAAAAAATTTGAGTCCCAGGACATGTATGTTCCCAGATGAGGTGGAACAAGGTGACACTCTGCCTTCTTCTTTCGGCTCTCTTACTGCAAATAAGTGTCCTTTTTCACAGTCTAGTTAGTGCCATGTTTTCACACTGTTGCGTTTTTTGTTGGTGATTTCACTTTAAAATAGCCCCAAACATAGTGCTGGAGTGCTGCCTCGTGTTCAGAAGCCCAAGGAAGTTGTGATGTCCCTTACAGAGGACAATACGTGTGTTAGACAAGCTTCCTTCGGGCATGAGTTACGGTGCTGCTGGTTGTAATGTTCATCAAACAATATATGTTAAATAAGGTATGGTTGCAATGTTCATCAAAACAGTATGTATTAAATAAGGTATCTTTAAACAGAAATACACACAAATCAAGGTTATGTGTTGATTGGTTGACAAAAATGTAGTGACCAGAGGCTTGCAGGAACGCAGCCCTCTATTTCCCCAATGAGTGATGGTTCAGTATTGGATAATTCAATATGCACAGTGATGTCACACAATATAACTGCTGTGAATAATGAAAATTGACTGTGGTTGCAAAGGCCCAAGATGCTTATTCCGTAAAGAAAACAGGATTATGCAAAGCACAGGACTCTGTTTTTTGAGAAAGGGTCTCATTCTTTCACCCAGGTTGGAGTGCAGTGGTGCAATCATGGCTCACTGAAGACTCACTCTGCTAAGCTCAAGTGATCTTCCCTCCTCAGCGTCCTGAGTAGCTGAGACTCAAGGACCACACCACCACATCCAGCTAGTTTTTGTTTTTTTGTAGAGATGGAGTCTTAGTATGTTGCCCAGGCTGGTCTTGAACTCCTGGGCTCAAGTGATCCTCCTGTCTCAGCCTCCCAAAGTGGGGGATTACAGGTGTGAGCCACTGTGCCAGGCCAAGCACAGGTTGAAAGACTTAAAGTTGACGGACATCGAGCCTAATATGGGCCTGATTTTCAATGCACAATTTTTCCTTAACTTGTTGTAGATGTTTATTTTATCATTAGCATTTTTCTTTTCATTTTCCAAGAGAAGTATCTTCCAGAAAGCATTTGCCAAGTTGACTTTCACACCCCTATCTGCTCCTCCAGTTTCCATCTACAGGACCCATTCTGTAGAGCAGCCATTTCCCTGAAGTCCTTGAAATCTCTGAATTCAGGGAAATTTGCTTTTCTGAAACAATACGCTTTATTTTTACTAACTGCTTTGTTTCCTCTAGAACTTAAATATGGACATCTTCTTAACACATTATTCGGGGTTTCCATCTTTACCTTAGATTCTTAACTTAAGAAGAACACTTGATACACTCCAATTTTCACATTTTCATGGAAGAATCGTCCCACAGAGCTGAGAGATAGGGTCTAAGCTGGGGAAGCCTTGTAGAATCAGGGGCCTGAGAGTAATGTCATTATATTTGTACTTTAGAAAAATGTTGGCCGGGCGCGGTGGCTCAAGCCTGTAATCCCAGCACTTTGGGAGGCCGACGCGGGTGGATCACAAGGTCAGGAGATCGAGACCACAGTGAAACCCCGTCTCTACTAAAAATACAAAAAATTAGCCGGGCGCGGTGGCGGGCGCCTGTAGTCCTAGCTACTCAGGAGGCTGAGGCAGGAGAATGGCGTGAACCCAGGAGGCGGAGCTTGCAGTGAGCCGAGATCGCGCCACTGCACTCCAGCCTGGGCAACAGCGTGAGACTCAGTCTCAAAAAAAAAAAAAAATGTTTGGTGGCAGAATATATATATATAGAGAGAGAGAGTGAGAGAGAGAGTGTGTGTGTGTGTGTGTGTGTGTGTGTGTACACACATGCATGCATGCAAAGGGGGTGCAGCATTGAGTAAGAAGTGGAGTGGGTGGGTGGTGCCTGAAGTAATCAAAGTGAGAAACTATGAGGCTCAAATGAAGCAATGTCAATGGAGACAGGGGACAGAAACAAGGCAATGGGTGTGACCTATTTTAAAACAAGGATGTATGGATTAATGACATTAAATACAGAGAGTAAAGAGTTAAGGCTCTGTGTTTTATCCTTCTACACAACTTCTGTAATCTAGAAACATATGTCAGGTTCATTATTTTTATCTTGAGGCCATAAACATGTTCTGAGCACACCAAGGTCTCCTACGGTGTAAAATTCAGCTGTTTTCCTCTCCATTTCCTTGAAGGTGATGCCCAGACATGTTCATTTAGGCTGGTTCCAGCCATCAGGACACAATGCTCAGAAAATAAGGATGAGTACTTAGGGATCCCATTCTTGGCTTCAGCATAATAACTCAGAAGTTACCTAAGAGCCACAGTGAATCTGAATTTTACAAAAACAATAATCTTTATGATTCTTGGGCGCCACAACCTGAACCAAAAGGGCTGGCAGAAACATACCAAGCACCTACTCATGTTGTGAAGTGGAACCTTCACTATCTGCTTCAGTAAAGCGCTAGTTTTTCTCTCCTCCCTGTGTTGCTACTAAGATGAAGGCTTTCCTGACAATTCGGCAACTTTGCATGCCCTTTCAATGCCTCAGGGCACCTACAAAAGTTCAGGAATAAGTGTCCTCAGAGAGATCTTTCCAAAAAGGAAAGACATTCATTTCTCAATTTTGAAAGTCTCCACTTTTGTCTTTACACTATAAATATACTCCCAAGAAAAGGATTTACCTAGAACATGTTGAAAAGAATGTGAAACTATTTCAGCTTTTACTGCATGGTAATGGTCACACTAATGAGTTTGCCAATTTGTACGACGCACTGAGTAGCGGAAAGAAAATCAGATCCATAAACAGACAGATGGAGAGGCACACAGGGCAGGGACCAGCTCCTCACATGGGCAAATAGACAGGCTGAGCGCTGAGATGTTTGGAAGGCTTCAGGGAGGGTGCAGCAAGCTGGACGTTGAAGGGGATGGATTGGCAACCTTGAACATAAATTGTAAGGTGCCAAACAGAAGGAAATGAGTAAAAAACATAGTTGATCCTGAAAATCTTGCCTTATAGTTCATAAATTCCGAATGGAGACCATCTGCTCTATCAGTAAACTGGTCTCTTTCTTCTCCTGAGTTAGTGCTGTCACCCAAAAGGGAAGGCTCCGGTTGAAATTCCTGATGAAATTCCCCTGTTAGGAAAATATATAGAGAGACAGAAAGCATGATTTCTTGAACAGAAGAGCAAAACACAGCTGATCTTTAAATATCCTCTAGTCACTACAAGTCCTCTGTGTTCCCCATGAAGAAGGTATACGAAAAACCCAAGTTTTCTCTTCCCTGCAGGGAGGAAAAGATAAAAGTAAAATAACCCCAGAAAGCCCCAAACTGAACTTAAAAAGTCAAGGCCTCTCTGGGCTTAGTTCCCTATGAGAAAAATAAGATTTTCTCTTACTTTTTAAGGAATGGAGAAAAGAAAGTATAAAAGAGGGCTTTTTTGCCCTCAGTAATATGTGACTATGTATTTCATATTTAAAATCCAACACATATTGAGCAGCTACTAAATGGCAGGTATTATGCTAAACATTTTAGGGATTAAAAAATCAGCCAAATCTGACTCCTGTCCTTAAGTAGCAAATAATCTCAAGGACGTGTCTACGAGAAGGGCCACACAAAGGTGATAGCATACCCAGATGGGGCACATCCACCTAGAATGTGTTCCAGGGGAGGTGGGGACACAAAAGGAACACCCTACACAACTCTTCCAACTGTTCTGAAGATGAAAAAGAACCATACTGGGCCACCCTTTAACACTCTGAACCAATGTAATACCCACATCTAGACGAGAGGGGGAAGACTCACTGGTAACAAATTATGTAATTCTTTTATTTGAAAAATGTGCCTAAAATACCACCTCCTATGGTGCATAATATTACTAAGTTTATATGAATTAATGAAGTGGCAGTTATACTTGTATATAAAGCATACAGCTATGTTTTTAGACAACATATGGTTCTCATGATAATCTCAGGTAAACAGAAATGCTAAACTTAAAAACCTAAGTGTAAGAAGTGAAAGCAAACACTAAGGTTTGAGTGAACTTAAACAGCTCTCCTATCACTCATAAGAGCATATTCCAACTATTTATGAGAAGATCTGTATATTAATCCAGTTCTACACTATTCATACATTGTGAAATAGTCTCTGCCACAAATGAGTAAAACTAAATGTTTGTATTTTCCTTAAAAGTCATTGGGAAACGGGGGCAATCAAAAAAATTGCCATAATGTTACCCAATGAGGGCTTCTAACCAAGATATGAAACGTATTAAAAGGATCTTGAAGGCACACAAGATGCAGTGTTTAGTGGTCATTTGACGACTATTAAAGAGCCACAGAATTTTCAAGCTACACCGGACCTTCGATATTACGTAATCCAATCATCTCATTTACAGGTAAGGGAGTCAAGGTCACCTGACTGGGCCAAAGTCAGGTAGCTTCTTGAACACACACCTCAACTACATTTCCCACCCTCACGTGCAGTGCGATGTGGCCACGGGATGAAGTCTAGCTTGTCAGTGATGGGCACTCCTTCCAGGCCCAGTCCATAAAAACTCCCATGAGCAAACCTCCATGCTCCTCTTCCGGTTTAAAACAGATGGACATGAAAGTTTTGGAAGCCCTGTGTTAAAGATGTTGGAGTCATGGTATGAAAGGAGCTTGGGTCCTTAAATCAACACTCAGAGGGGAGTTGCCTGCCGATCACTAACTCCATTTGAACTTAATTTGGATTGTGTTGAGCTACGGAGATTTGGGAGTCTTCTATTTTACAGCAGCTAGAGCTTTCCTAACTAATATATCTATCACATCAATATTTTCTTTCCAAGAATGGATTTTAAAAATTAGCCGAGCGTGGTGGCAGGTGCCTATAATCCCAGCTACTCAGGAGGCTGAGGCAGGAGAACCGCTTGAACCCAGGAGGCAGAGGTTGTGGTGAGCCAAGATCACGCCACTGCACTCCAGTCTGAGTGACAGAGCGAGACTCCATCTCAAAAAGAAAAAAGAAAGAATTTTATCTAAGTCTTCAGAATGAGACTAGGTCTACTATGCACTGTAGTAAGTAGACTACACACACATCAGCTGTGTGACCAATGGCAAGTTACTTAAACTCCCTGAGCCTTGGTTTTCTCACCTATAAAATGGAGATGATTAGAGTATCCATCTTAGACTTTTAAATTTTAAATGAGATCAACTTCCCAGATGAACACAGTGCCTGCTACATAGGAAATACTCTAGAAAGATTATCACTGCCCTATCTGTGCACAGGTTATTTTAAACATAACATTTGAAACTGAAAAGCAAGCACTCTCTCCACATTTCCATTCTCAGACCTTTAACGGGGCTAAGGCGGTGGCACGAGTCCTCCTTGATGATCTGTTCTTCTTCCATGATATTCGACATTGGCACATTGAGGCTAACAGTGTCTTCGTCAGAAGGCTAAAAAGATACAGTGCACTGTTTAACTCAAGAGAAGTGTTATCAATGTAGATAAGGAGAATGCTATGTAATAAAACAACATCCTGTGATTCTCACAAACATCATATTGAATATAAGTTGCCAGATACAAAGGTCAATTCCACTATTTAAGTTCAAAAAAATGCAAAACTAATCCATGGTATTTAAAATTAGGATAGAAGTTGTTCTTGGGGTCGGGGTGGGGCTTTCTAGGGTGCTGGTAAAGTTCTGTTTGTTGAACTGGCAGCTGGTTATATGGGTGTGTTCACATCGTGAAAATTAATGGAGCTAACACAGGCTTCTCTGTGTTCTCTTCTGCTTTAAGCTGAAATCTTGTCAGGTACTGGTATATGGTTTGGATGTATGTCCCCTCCAACTCTCATGTTGAAATGTAATCCCCAATGCTGGAGGTGGGGCCTGGTGGGAGGTGTTTGGGTCATGGGGGTGGATACCTCAGGAAGGGCCTGTGCTGTTCTTGCTATGCGTTCATGTGAGATCTGGTTGTTTAAAAGTGCATGGCACCGGCCAGGTGCAGTGGCTCATGCCTGTAATCCCAGCACTTTGGGAGGCTGAGGCCAGTGGATCACAAGGTCAAGACATCGAGACCAACCTGGCCAACATGGTGAAACCCCATCTCTACTAAAAATACAAAAATTAGTTGGGCATGGTGGCGCATGCCTATAGTCCTAGTTACTCGGGAGGCTGAGGCAGGAGAATCGCTTGAACCCAGGAGGCAGAGGTTGCAGTGAGCTGAGATCATACCACTGCACTCCAGCCTGGCAAGAGAGCAAGACTCCGTCCAAAACAAAAAACAAAAAACAAAAAACAAAAAACAAAAAACAAAAAAAAACAGTGCATGGCACCTCCCACATTGCTCTCCCCCAACCATGTTGCTCTCTTGCTCCGGCTGTCACCATGTGACAGGAGGCACTCCCTTCACCTTCAACCCTGACTTCTGAGGCCCTTGCCAGAAGCAGTTTCTGGTCACATGCTCTGTGTACAGCCTGAAGAACTGTGAGCCAACGAAACCTCTTTTCTTTATAAATTACCGACCCTCCGGTATTTCTTTATAGCAACACAAGAATGAACTAATACAGGTGCCTGTCTTATTTCTCTATTTTAGGCTGAGGAAGCTGCATCACATATATAAAAGTGCTAAAGAACTGTAATAGTTAAAAAGAACTGCTCTGTGTGATTTTTGGAGTAAAGCTTTGGCTTAATAATTGGATTAGTTTTCTCTGAGGGTTTCCTTTCCCACAGTAGCTGATGACGTTTATTCAGAAAACCTATGATTCTGAATGAAATATGGAGCCTGGTTTATTTTCCTCTGTCTCCATTTTACTGTTGCTACTTAGGGAATAGCTTTCCAAATCTCAAAAATCAGGAAACTCCATAAAACACATTTCAGGAGATTATGGCTTGCTCCTAAATTCTTGAGGTATGGTTTTCAGAGTCTGTCCTTGTTTACTTTTGGACATATGTACAGATTGTTTAGAAACTGGCAGAAATCAGGCATGCATTTCATTCATTCAACAAATATTCATAGAGCTCCACACTTTCCTGTTTATCTTGATAAAAAGATGTTTTTAATTTCTCAGTGACAAACGCTAAATCAATCAATGACAGCAGCCAAAGAAAAAGAATCAGGTGTGATCCCTGAACCCCAAAATGTGATCTAAATGGGAAGTAACATCACCTGACCACAGATGGTAAAATCTTTGCCAAACCAAGTGAAAATAGGAAGCTATGTAAGATAATTCAGAATGCTTATCATTCTAAAAAATAAATTTCTTGGAGGTGTACTTAAGAAAGGAGGCTGTAATGTAAGACAAAGGAAGGCCAATGGGAAGATGTGTGCATTTTTATTCTGTTGAATATAATCTTTTCTGTATTCCTTTCTCTTTCTACCCACCTCTCATCTTAAAAATTTAGCACAATTCCAAAGATATGCATCTAATTAAAAGGCATCGAATAAATCCTTGGGCTCCTTTTAGAATGATATTAGCATCCTACTTATGCTTAAGCGAGAACAAAAGGATAATGAAGTTCTTTATGTAATGTTTTATTAATGAGTTTAATTAGAGAAAGCAGGGTCTGTTTAATTTGACAGAAAATATGCTTAGGGTGAGTAATTTCTGAAACAATGGTCCATTTGCGAGGACTTAGGAGTTGAAGAGGATGAACTAAAATGCAACTAAAGCAATGTGTTTAGTATCCCCTCTCCCACTGAAACACAGTAAACTATTAATGTGCTTCCCATGGGTTATTTTTTTTTTATTGACACTGGCCTTCTCTGCCTATTAACTATTCTTCCTTTCAAAATGTTCTACATTAGAAGGATTTTTAAAGAATCCCACTTTTTAATACACTGCTATATACAGCATTTTGTGAAAAATAAAATCAAATACCTCAGCTACCTATTAAAATTCAAAGACTTGAGGAGAATTGGAGAAAGGTTTTTTTTTTTTTTTTTGAGACGGAGTCTCGCTCTGTCGCCCAGGCTGGAGTGCAGTGGTCGGATCTCAGCTCACTGCAAGCTCCGCCTCCCGGGTTCACGCCATTCTCCTGCCTCAGCCTCCCGAGTAGCTGGGACTACAGGCGCCCACCACCTCGCCCGGCTATTTTTTTGTTTTTTTTTTAGTAGAGACGGGGTTTCACCGTGTTAGCCAGGATGGTCTCGATCTCCTGACCTCGTGGAGAAAGGTTTTTTTCCTGGAGTCATACATAGAAAAAATGTGAGTTTCTTTGATGGGGTAATTGGCCTATTAATGGCAATTTCAAAGAGTATTATAATGTTTCAAAACTCAGTAACTACAGAAAGTAACTTCCCTCAAAAAAAGAAGAGCACCTGATACTTTTCCTACCACTCCTTTCTAGATCTCTGAGGCCAAGAAGCTCCATTTAATGGTACGTTAGTGTTAGATTTTGGGGACTCTAATAGACTACATGTGAGATAATAAATCAGTTATCAAAACATTATTTATAACCACTGTAGGAAGTTCTAATGTGTGAGGCCTGTTAGCTTACAAGTAACCAAACTTTTATCCAATTAACTGAACAGATCTAAGAACAGAACACAATCTAAGAGTCTGGGGAAAATAAACATTGTTATAAAAACTATAGCTACTCATAAATGCATTTCCTGTGGGTCAATTACTAACATAAAATGTACAGTTGATTCCTTAACATTTATGCATATGTATAACAATGTTTTTCTAAATTACTCTATTACTGAAAAATAAGCATATTTATAAAAGTGCTTCATGAGCACTTGCATACTACTTAGCCACTTTGTAATATTTATTGGGCACTCAATAATATTTTAGATAATGTATAGGAGAGGAAGATACAGACTCTACTCTTGAGGCATTTACAAAAATATAAAGATGCAGAATAAGCTAACAACAGCTAATATTTATATAACACTTCGAGGATTTCCAATCGCTTTTACGAATATCACATACTCTCATACAAACGAATCAATGCCCTTTAACAGAAAGGAGTTCAATGAACTCCTGGGAAATATGTCTAGAAGTACAGAAGGAAGAGAATCTGATCACTAACTTTACCTCGGTGGCAGATAATCGCTTATCTCCATTGTCACTTCCAACTCCTGAATCAGAATCCTTCTTGCTGAGATAGATGCCATCAATATTGAATTCATTTAAAAAAGATGAAAACCACAAAGTTCACACCAAGATACATCAATTTATATTCTAATAATAATTTTGCTATGCAAATTTTTATTATTACTGTAAGGCAACAAATCAGTCTAGTATTAAAGAATATTAAGACATGGACCTAATGAAAATCAGACGGTAGCACAGTCTAAACACGGTATAAAATAAAATTCTTTGTGTTCAGGGTTTCATGGATTTATGCTCTAATCAAGTGGCTTGCTCTTAGATGTCAAAGTGTTTCTTAAAAATAGTTACCAATGTTCTTATTTTACTGAATCTAGCAAACCACATAACTGCTTTTACCCCTTAGGTTATGAAATGTGATTACTTTCAATAATTCTGTAAATTTTTATCCCGGGATTAAGTACGTAAAACAGTGGATACATATTTTAAGCATTATATAAAAGTAACATTAAGGTAGTCAGAAATTTTACATTTACTTATGCAGCAAAAAGTGAAGGAAAAGATTTCTGCAGTAAAGGCTTCTTAAAAAGAATCTGCATTTCTATAACTGCGATCAGTGAGGGAACGTTGTTTTTTGGAAGCTCAAGGCTTGATTTATGCCACAAGAAGCTCTAGGATGTGTGAAAAGGTTCTAACATTTCCATTTGAAACAGGAAGTGGCAAAAAAAACTACACATACTGTATTTTTAAAAGACCAAAAATAAAGCCTTCATTTTTTTCTTAACGTTGTTCTGGAGGCATATTCAACATTAATAATTGCTAAAACGCCATGTCTGGGCTCAATATAGTTATTCTGATAAGTAAAAAATATCCACATTTGTATTATAGATCTTATTTATAAGTATATACCCACTTACACAGGAAGAACTGATTATTGATTAGGAGACAGTAGATGATATTTGAGATATACCAAAATATTCTCAATAGCATCAGTTTTTGCTTTCATATCCCAATAGTTTCTCAACTTCTTGGGTTTTTTTTTTGTTTGCAAAATTTTTAGTATTATTTAATTTTTATACAATAAGCAAATTGACAAAATGAGAATAAAATACAAAAATAAAACAGTGTGTATAGACCTAATTTTTAATGCAATCACATTATAAATGCCACTGTGAAGCCAAAAACCTCTACATTTGTTATTAGTGTAGTGACATTTAAATGGTTCATTTTCTCTGATAAACATCTGACCTGGAATATACAAAATTATGTTAATTAATTTACAGTAAGACGATCTTGCTAATAGTAGCAACTTTAAATCTTAGGCTGTAAAACTCATTTTATATATATTGGCATTTTACAGTTGATGTTAGAACTGAAGGGATGATTTTAGTTTACTATTTAAAAAGTTACTAAATTTTATTTTTGCTATGTGAAAGGATCTAGAACAAAAAACTAAAACACATACGGGAAGATTATCAGTTTGTTGTTACAGGCATAGAAAGTACCAATTTTAATTATTACAAACAGAGAAAGGTAATTTTTGATAGAGCTTTGTTCCTGATTTTGAAAAATCCTGGTTTTGTTTTTTTTTTTTTTTCTCAACTTCTTGTTTTAAACACAAATTAGGTGAGTAAAGCAAATTGTTTTGTTTTGCTTTGTTCTCTGCAGACACCATGGTGACTTAAAACAAACAGATTTTTGAAGTCAGCTACCTGGAGGGCCTTGGCCTAGGCAAATTTTAAACGGGGGCTTTGAATGAGGGCATGACTCACCCATCTTCCACGTGCTGGTGTAAATGTGGCCTCTCCATGGTGTGGAGATAAAGGGAGTCAGTTGTCTTAATCTGGCATGCTTGTATGCTCAGATACTTAAATATGTGAACTTTGCCCTTTGTGCAAATCTATGAAGAAATTAATAGTAATCATATTCATTTTTCAATGACAAAACAAAATGTAAGTATCAAATCCTTACTCTGTATATTTCAATTTTCCCGATTTCATGTCAAGTAACACCCTACCCATGTACACTAAATCCGTCCTTAGAATTTTGGGAATCATTCCCTCCAAATTCTACTTCGAACAGAAAACCATGCTTAAGCAAATTTCCCATTTTTTCTTGCATTAAACTATAAAAGTCTAACAAAAATGTATTCAAGTATATACAGTATAAAAAGTATAAAGTCAGATGACCAGCCTGGTGAAATTCCAATTACAAAAGATGAGAAAAGCACAATTATTTTCGAGCCCGTAGAAAACAATTCGGAGCCTAAAAATAATTGTAGATTTAAGAAGCTGTTAAATTATTTAAAAAGAAAATAAACTTCAAAATATTTACATGGTTAAGCATCTGAAAGCATAGTACTTCATTTTTCTCTCATGCAGTTTAATATCTGAGCTTGAGACCTGTCTCTAAATAATCAATAACCATGTTTAAATTCCATTTTCCAGCTAACATTTAAATAAGGAATATATGGCTGGGAGCAGTAGCTCACGCCTGTAATCCCAGCACTTTGGGAGGCCAAGGCGGGCGGATCTCTGGAGGTCAGGAATTCGAGAGCAGCCTGGCCAACATGGTGAAACCTCATCTCTACTAAAAATAAAAAAATTATCCAGGTGTGGTGGCAGGTGCCTGTAGTCCCAGCTACTCAGGAGGCTGAGGCAGGAGAATCGCTTGATCCTGGCAGGCAGAGGCTACAGTGAGCCGAGATCGTGCCACTGCACCCAGCCTGGGCGACAGAGCGAGACTCTGTCTCAAAAAAAAAGAAAAAAAAAAAAAAATCAATCAATCAGTGTACTCCGTGAAAAAAATTCAAATAAAATGATAAATAATAAGACATTTAATTCTGGAGTTGGAGTGATTAGCATAGTCAGCCAAGTGCTGGTAAATAGATTTGATGCAGCGGAAGACAATTTATTGTTTCTCACATTCACTCAACGGTTACCTGTGACTGTTTACAATCAAGTTTTATTCAATATTATTCTCTTCAGCAGAGAATCAGAAAACTGGCCTTCGGAGAGCTGCTTAAGCACTATTGATAGCACTGGGAATCAGAAAACAATACCCCAAAATGAAGGCCTCAGAAGCAAAAGTTTTTCTCTGACCTCTCCTGCCCTCCTGCCTCTCGGTCCCATTCTCCCAAGGAAGGGAGCCTTAGAAATTTGAGTCCCTCTTCCCCAAAGCTGGTCATAGAAACCAGAACCCCTTTAAAACCTCAAAATATTACTTGAACTTTCCCTCTGCCTTTCTGTGTAAAAACTGGCCATAAAGAAATTATCTGACCTCTCTTGTTTGACAGTAGGCCAATAAGAACCCCCATTCCAAAGAGGGTCCTGCGCCACACCCAGAAGGAAGGGATAATCCTCAGAGAGCCCAAGAAGAATCCAGAGACACAGGCCCCGCTGGGTTTCCTCACTCAGTCTATTAACGTGAGATCATACTCTTTTTGTCCAATCATATTTCTGCATGGCTGCCCACACTTTGTAAGCATAAAAATGGACAATTTCCCCTGTATCTTTGGGTCTTCACTCTGGAAGCTTCCACGTACATGTTAATAAATTTTGCATGCCTTTTCTCCAATTAATCTGCCACTTGCCAGTGATGAGTGATTTTCAGCAAACTTTCAGAGGGTGAAGGGGAAATTTTCCCTTGGCCCCATAACAGCACATCCCATGGGGCATTGGCTTTGCTGCAAGACCCCTCACCTGTGCTGGAGGAGACTGCAGAGGATTATTCTCAAGTAGCAACACTTGCAGCTGCTTCATCTCTCTAAAACAAATTGGAATCACGAGCACTTTGTTGCAGGAAAAGTCAAACTTTACCAAGGGAAGATCTACTAGTTCTAAAATAATAGAAAAAAGAAAAAAGAAAGAAAAAACCTTAGAAAGCAATCAGATTAATGGCTGATCATTCAAAAATTAATGTTCTGCTTCTCAGGAAAAATATAATTGAGTATAATCAAAAGCAAGTTGTACATTAGGAATACATGGTGTGTGTACACAACATTTTACCAAAAGAGGGAAAATCTTTCATTGCATGCCCCAAAGTTTTACATTGTTGTTAGTTCTGATAAAAACTGGAAACACTTGACATTTACAATATCCATTGTTTAAAAAGACTTTTTTTTTCAGCAAAAAAAAATCACGCAAGCCACATCACACAGGACATGTTTATGTTTTAACTTCAAACTGTTTCCCAGTAGCATTCGCTAGCCCATGAGTAATATGTTAATTACAGAATATTCTTATCTAATCAATGTATCTGGGCTGGCATTATCCCAGAACTAGCTACACGAAATATATTCGTGAGTTTTTCAACCGCATTTAAAAAAAATAAATGTTATCCAATTCAGAATTTTCCGACAGGCCCTGTGATTCTGGTATGATGAGAGTTTATTCTACAGCTTTTAAAAAGTCTTCTGTAGCTCCACTCAGAAGTCAGAACATTACATTTAGCTTAAAATCCCCACCCACTGGCACAGTAAACACTCCGTAATTTCAAGCATTCAAAGTGACATTGGCAGCTGCTAGGAATAAAGTCAAATATATGCCATAGAGCAAAGAGGCTAAGCCATGCCAGACATCTAGGGTGATGCAGGCAAGCCACTGAGATCTGTGTGTGTGGGGCTATGAAGGGTTCACTCCAGAACGAGGCCTCGGAACTTTTGTTATGGGATCTGTTAAGGACTCAAGGAGTTCTAAAGTGGAAGAAGGGCAAGAATTAGACAAAGAAGAGTAACTCAAGGCACTGACCTGGAGTAAAAATTCACACTATTTCTCCTCTACCCCTACACCGCTCTTCGGTTTTCACTTTACTCAGTTACGTTATGTCAAATTCCAGCAGGAAAAGATTCTAGTAACCAGTACCTCTCTCAGAATCCGAAGCACTCTGGGAATGTAAGGGACTGTCCTTGGTTCATAGCTTAGTGAATTACTTTGTCTTAAAGAAACGAGGAATGGAACTAAAATTCTAGAGGGGAGGCAGAAGAGCATCTAAGGCCGCAGGTTCCAAACTCAGGTCCATGATAGGTGGGCTGTGCAGGAGAAACTCAGGAAGTGTGTTTTTGAAAGAATACAGACCCCTGGACCTGAAGCCAAGGGATCTGTATTTTTTAAATTGCCCTGAGTAGTTAGTTCATTGCTCAAACCGAGCTTGCCTCCCGTCTGGCAGGATGGGGGATTGACCTCAGGCCACACTGGTCCTGGAGGACACTGGAATCATGAAAGTGAAAGGATAGGAAAAGCAAGATCCCCTTTCACCTCACAGCTTGTTTGTAAGATGGTTAAGAATTATGAAGATTCCGTGATAAGAGGAACGCCTCCTAGCGGTTACCCCTGGCAATATCACCCTACCTCCGAGATGGTTAACTAAAGTTAGGTTAGCTAATCACTGGAAAAATTTAACTGGACTCTGCATCATTAGCAATTCTTTGCCACTTAAAATGAAGACTCTTAAGACTAGAGGGCCAAGTTCATGGAGAACATAGCAGAAGAAAACTTACAGGTAAATAAACTGAGTAATGGTTTTATAATGACCATTTCTTTTCTAGTTCCAGTTTGGAACACAATTGCCATCATAGTTCAGGAAAACAAGAACCAGACAGTTTCACAACAATAAAATGAAGGAGAAAATGATAATTTTGCAGTGCCAGTCCAGGAAAAGTAAAAAAATGTGGAGTAGGAAAAGGGAGTAAGAAAAAAAGAAGCAGAAGAACAAATCCCACTCCCTCTCCCCACTGCTAAGAGAGGCAATGAATGGCTATTTTAATCCTCTGTTCATTCTAGTTCTAGAAAGAATAAAATATGGTTTTCCTATTGCAGTTGTTGTAGTAAAACCACCACAAAATTGATATGAGTAATTAGACCACAATTTTGGGTTTTTTTTTTTTCATCCTCAAATTGAAAGCATACGAGGAAGGGTATCCAAAGAGGAAAAACATATATATAAGTAAATAGGGGAAGTCTTCACAGTCACAAGTATTTTCAATGGTCTTTTATCAATAGAGTTCTCCAGAGTGAAGCAAAAAGGAACTTGATATTCAGGAAATTATTCTTTTTAAAAATTTTTCAGTAAACTGAAGTTTTAGCTTTGAGTATATTTTTAAAATATCAAAACTGAGAAAACAAAATTATGAAATAACTGATCTTTTTAAGGGAAAGGAATGCTTTTAAGGTAAAAAAAAAAAAAAAAAAGAGGAACCAGTGAGAGACAAAAATCTAGATTTTGTGAATATACTTTCTTTCCACGTTTCCAAACTATGACAGGCATTTGCAAATTATCACATTAATTTTTCCATTTGAAAATGAGAGTTCAATTATTTCTGACATTTTCACAATAATTAACATGGGAGCTTAAGTTTACGTGAAAGTTTTCTTTAACTCATAAAAGGTTGTATGCATATAAATTTGCTGTTAATAAGCTTTCCTTTTGTGTTTGCTTAAACCAAATACAAGTTTTGTATATCTAAAAAATGAGACTGTACTAGGACAAAATGAAAAATCAATCAATATTTTTAAACCAAGTCATCTCAAGCACTCAAGTAAAAAATGCTGTTTCTCATTCTGCTTCTCTAAAATGCTAGTCAGTATGAGGAAGGTGAAAGACGGCAAGCGGACCCGAACCTCCCATTTACAAAGCACATTACATTTTCCAAAGTTCTTTCCCTTTCATGAGATCCATTCTCTTGCCTTATTATGAAGCATTTCAAGCCAAAGATCAAGATGCAGAGACAGGATAATTAAAATGAGGCATCCATAAATTGCTCCATTCATGTCAGATCAACCAAATGCTGACTGTTTCCAAATACTACAGGGTTTTGCTTTGAGAAATATTTTTAAATACATGTTTGAAATCGGCTAAGTCTAGAGACTTTAAACACAAACAATGGAAATCAATGTGATCTCTGAAAACCAGAGTATGCTTTGGAGAAAGCATTCAGGGTTCCAGGACTCATCCGTTCATTCCTGATCCAGGTCCAAACCGAAACACAAAATGCAGAGGCACTACCCCCTATGAGGCTGCTTTCATGCTCTAAATGGTACGCAATTTCGGAATAAATACATACATCTTCCTTGAACTCTACACACTACCGGATAGTCATACTACGGAAGCCCACGGCTGCAAAGCAGGGCTGTCTGAGTTCTCAGCGTTCATGTTAGGTGCTTGGGAGCCACGTCCCAATGCTGAGGTTCTGCAGCCACCACTGGTGAAACTTACCGAGACCACCAGTGAGACATTAGTCCAAGTATCACTCCAGCAGAGGCAGCACCCTCACCTCAGAAAAGATTCTAGACACTGGGAGTTCCCAACCAGTGCTCCCAGATCCCCAAGGCTAGAAATCCTGACAGACAGGATCTGTAGAACAAAGCATGTCCCCAAAATTTCACGTTCCAAAACGTCACATACCCATATCCAAAACAATTCATGTCACCCCCTGCGATGGGCTGGCTTGAGTCCTTCCAAAATTCATATGTTGAAGTCCTAACCTCTATTACCTCAGAATGTGATTGTATTTGGAGATAGGGTCTTTAAAAGGGTAATTAAGTTAAAATGAGGTCATGAGGGCAGTTCTAATCCTTGGTGTCCTTGTAATAAGAAGAGATGAGGACACAGACATGCACAGAGGGGAGATGATGTGAAGACCCAGAGAGGAGATGTCACCCACAAGCCAAGCTGAGAGGCCTCAGAAGGAACCAACCCTGCTGGCACCTTGATCCTGGCATCCAGCCTCCAAAATTGTGAGAAGATGAAGTTCTGTTATTCAAGCCACCCCAGCTGTGGTTCTTTGTTACAGTAGTAGCCCCAGCAAACTAATACACCCAGGTCCACCCCCGTGCCCCACAGCACTACCCAGGGGAATAATTTTGTTACCGTAGCCCTTGACTAAAATCACAGCCTGAACACCACATTTTTGTTATCTGCATGTGAAATTCAAATCCTAATTATTAGTAGTAGGCATACATACACACACACACGAAAAGATCCACCCTCTTCACAAAAGTAAATCCCCCCAAAAATAAAATAGTGAAAGTCTCCCATTTTCTTCATTTTCCCTCTTTCTTTTTTACCTTGTGGTAAAACTTTAAGGTAATTTCTTCTGACATTCAGTTCTCGTAGAGATTTCAACTGACCTATCTGCTGGGGCAACGCTGTGATCTCGTTGCAGCTGACATCCTGTATCAAAAGCAGAGAGAGAAATAATAAACATCTTTTTCCAGGAAATCAAGCATTTCATGTGAAATCTCCTTAAGGAATTTAAATATTTGGAAAACTACACAGGTACACTTTTATATTCATCTCCAGGTCCCTAGCAATAAGACTCAGCACAGAGAAGAAAATGTTGAACGTTTTAAACTCCCTCAGAGGAGAGAAAAATGGAGAAAGGGTGGACATTAGTAGCATTCGGCAGCTGCTTCACCAGCCTCTGGCCTGCCACTTTGACATGCTTTGATTTTACTGAATTCTCACAACAAACCCACTGGACAATATTACTAGCCTAATATTTACAAATCAAAAAGTGGGGCTCAGAAAAGTTTAGCCAGTCGCCCAAAGCATGCAAGTGCCAGAGTTAACACTAGAAATGAATTACCAGTTCACAGTTGAGCCACTGTCCCACCGTGCCTCTAAATAGAAGACTACAATGCATCTTATTTTACCAAACTCTCACATATTGCAGTGAAAAACTAGGATATTAATGCACTCTTTGGATGCACTATTTATCTAAAATGGAGTTCTTCACCACAGGCTAGAAACCTTACAGCTGACCACCTTGCCATACATTTCACAAGCAATTCTTGTCTTCTTTGCTTTAGGAAGCAAGTACGCAATAAAGCCTTGATTGGAACCCCCTCTTGATACATGCGAAATGGAGGCCTTGACATTTATAATCTTCTATATCCTTAGGATCTCTCTGAATCCCACTCTTCCTCTTGGCTCTGGGAGTTGTGCTGGGCTCTTCACTCCCCCACCCACCCCCAGCTACTCCTACAGTCAGACCAGTGCTCTCTCTTAGAGCTGGGGTGCTATCACGATCTCCTGACTGGTTTCCATACATCAGTCTCTGCCTTGGATGCATCCTTCACAGAGCGGCCACAGTGCAAATGCCATCATGCTGTTCACCAGTTTAAACACTTGTGGAGGCTCCTCAACAACTATAAAGTCCAAACTGGGCAGTAAGGCCAGTGTCTATGATGAGGTCTGTCCATTTCTCCAGCACCATTTCTCTGAATGTCCCTCCTCACAACCTACACTCAAGCAATGTTACTGCTTCTGGCAGTTTTCAGTATTTCATAATTTCCAAACTTGCTCATGCTCCTTCCCTGCCTGATATGCCAGTCCCCAATATTGTCCTCTTGTCCCACTGACACATTTTTAAAGACTTAATTCAAGCCTCAACCTCTTTCGTGAAATCTTTCACGAGGCTTCCCCCACCTCTCCCACTCTGATCTAATGCCCAGGGAGACACCACTTCTTCCTGTGTGGTCTTTTAGATAGCGTGTCACTGTAAGTCATTTGCTCATGGGTTTATATTCCCCTTTAAGCCTATGAGCTCCTGGGTGGGAGGGACCAAGTCTTATTCATTCCATCCTCCCAGTGCCAGGTAGAGTGCCAAGTAAGGGATCAATAAATGTTGGATCAAACTTCTAAAATCCACTTACGGTGACACTCCATAATCCTGTGGCTCCTTCTCCAGGACCCTGGGACCCAGGATGCTCCAACATACACACTAAATCCCATGCAGGTCCCACTTGGCATCAAAGAACTAAAGATATAAATGATTCCAGTGAGATCAAGGCCTTAAATATCCCACTTTACTTTTGAACCTGCAAAAGCTCTCCCCTTTCACCATAGAAGGCAGCAAAGCCTCGTTTCAGAAGTCTGTTTCACTTTCATTCAAATAAGATGAACTCATCATCGACCAATCCAGTGAACACCCCCAGGCTCCACATTTGGACCAGGCTGTACACAACACAGTTGATCCCTGCCCTCTAACCTGGTCTCGTCGAAAAGGCTTCAGGTAATCTATCAACCTGTCCTCGTCATGACGATGCTCAACGGATATTACCCGATGAAGAGGAACAGTATCACTCCTGATAGAAAGGAATGAAGCTGTCCTCTATAAAGGCTGAGTGTGCACAGTGCAGACACCTCACCAAGCTTCTCTGTACAGCAGTCTGATGGGGGGAGGTGGGGTGACACGGGCTGAGAGCACCACATGTTCAGCGACATCAGCCCCAACCACTGTTGCTGTATCCCTCCTGGCCCAGAAAAGTCACACACAAGTTTGAGAACAACACTTCTAGTGTTTAAAACAAAAACAGAAACAAACTCCACAAGCACATCTGCAGAGACAAAAACATCGAAGGAAGTCATTACAGAATTAGGAGGTCCAGAGATTGTGTTCAGTCACTCTCAACCCCTCACTGAGTCAGTAAATCAGCCTGCCTTTCTGAATGCATTTCTACACGGGAGAAGAGAACAGTGAAATGCCATCTTTTCCCAATTACTAGGGCCTTTGCTCAGTCACAGGAGCCAACAATCAAATCCTTTCAATGAAAGCTTTCTTTGCCTTAACTAAGTTACAAATAAGCAAAAGGTGCCATTCCGTCCTATTTTAAGAGTCCCCACACAAATACCACACAGGTGAGCCCTAGAAATGCAGGAAATCAAATCCTTCTATGGAACTCATGACCAGATACAATCACTTTGGTGATGTTGTTGGCAGGAGAAGTGGGCGTGCTTGTGGGGAAGAATTAGAAGGAATGATTTTCCATCTCTAGAGAAAATGGATGTTACTGGCATCTAAAACAAGTTTTTTTAAGTCTTGTGAGTGACAGTGCGAGAAAGATCCTTATATAAATTATGGAAATCACCAATTTTCAATATGAAACTGACAATTTCCAGAAGCTTCAAAGACATAATTTTTTAAAACAATCTTTCTTTTAATAAATAAGGAGGGAGGAGAGGAAAGCAAAAAGATAACAGATATATTTAGGTAGCACGTTATTCACAGCATGAGATGAAACTAAGCCTTATTCCATTTTTTAATGTGAACTATACTCACCTTACTCTTTGCTGGTCATGCTTGAGTTAGCCAGGAAATCAAAATATGCTGTTTCTCTAAACGTAAGGTGATTTTTTTCCATGTATGTTTCTAACATAATAGCTTTATTTAAAAAAATCAACTCCCCCTAGCGATATTTGAAAACTTAGTTAGCACTAGGGAAAATGGTCACTCAATTTACTTTAAAAAAACTTCATGTAACGATAAATACAAGTTTTTTTCCTTCTGACTTACAGGACAGGACATCTGTAGACAATTCAAAACACAAAGTCCAATTGTCCATTCACATTTTGGAAGTTATATGGTGAAGGTCAAATTATTTTAATAGTACTCTGCACTGTTGTCAATTACTTCCTGTCCTGACAAAATAATGGGGGGAAAATGCCCAAGCAGATTTAGCACGCAAGATAACATTTCACTATTGTGTAATCAATATTGTAGACAATAATGCAAAATTCTATTCCCACAAGTCACTGAATCTTGCCACATTTTAAAGAGGTTATAAATTCATCACAAAAATAAAACCCCATGGGTCACTGTCTTAATTAGCTGGGGGATAAGGAGGAAGAAACAGGAGATAATAGTCTAGGTGTTTGGGGATAAAACATATCCGTTCTGAAAATGTAAAAGCAGTATTTCTAGAATGGCCTTGTTCTCTAGAACACTTTTGTTCAAATTCAGCCTAAGATAAGGTATGAATTTTATAGACTGATTTAAAGAAGATACGATTTAGGAAAATGAATGTAAATAAAAACAACACTAATGCCTCACACTTCTGCAATTAGTAAGAATTTATCGGGTTATAAATTCCAGATTCAGTTACTTATTAAAATAGTCAAATGAATCCCTTCTGAATTTTCTATTAGCCCTAAGCTATGTCTTAGAGAATGATTCCAAACTTCAGTGAAATCATAGCACCTTATAGTTAGTACTATAATACCACATACACACAAGCAGATCAAAAAGAAGCATGAGCATGTTATAAATATTTACTGAATTTATTCTTTTTGATACAGAAACAAATCTAATTATAGTAATATAAATATTCAAGCTTAAGTTTTTTATAGACCAGCCAGTCCAACTTTGTCATTTAGATAAAAAACCAAATAGAGAATTTGCACTGTGACTTAACACATACTGATTTTCCACCGGTCATCATGTTTTTAGGTAACCAAAAGAAAAACTTTAGGCCGGGCGCGGTGGCTCAAGCCTGTAATCCCAGCACTTTGGGAGGCCGAGACGGGCGGATCACGAGGTCAGGAGATTGAGACCATCCTGGCTAACACAGTGAAACCCCGTCTCTATTAAGAAATACAAAAAACTAGCCGGGCGAGGTGGCGGGCGCCTGTAGTCCCAGCTACTCGGGAGGCTGAGGCCGGAGAATGGTGTGAACCCGGGAGGCGGAGCTTGCAGTGAGCTGAGATCCGGCCACTGCACTCCAGCCTGGGCGACAGAGCGAGACTCCGTCTCAAAAAAAAAAAAAAAAAAAAAAAAAGAAAAACTTTAGAAATAAGATTCTCTCCTCATCACAATAAAAAGAGTCTCTAGAAGTATTAAAACCATGTTGGAGATTAATATATTTTTGTTACTAAGTGCTCATTGCTAACTGACCTTCAGAATGCAAAAATAACAAGGATTTAAATTAGCAGAATAAATTCAGGGATTATTAAACTAGGTTATGCTCATTTTCAGAAAGTAATATTGTAAAGAAGACTAGACGCTTTTGGTCTTTTTTTTTTTTTTTTTTTTTTTTTGAGACATTGTCTCGCTCTGTTGCCCGGACTGGAGTGTGATGGCGTGATCTGGCTCACGGCAAACCTCTGTCTCCTAGGTTCAAGCGATTCTCCCACCTCAGCCTCCCAGCTAGCTGAGATTACAGGTGTGTGCCACCACACCTGGTTAATTTTTTTTTTTTTTTTTTGTATTTTTAGTAGAGATGGGATTTCACCATGTTGGCCAGGCTGGTCTAAAACTCCTGACCTCACATGATCCACCCGCTTTGGCCTCCCAAAGTGCTGGGATTACAGGTGTGAGCCACCATGCCTGGCTGACCAAAAGTATTTTTTTAAGGAATGATACCTAGTGAAAACCAACATAGGCCAGGCACGAT